CAGATTTCTATCCACCTCTGTCTCTGATCAAACATGTTTGCAACTTGTAAAGCAGTAGGTCGTTTATATATGAGCCTGAGCAAGTTATAGAATTAGTGGACATAATTGGTGTGTTATAACAAACAAAAAAAGATAACTTGTTGAAATATCGAAATAGTAGGAGAAAATGATAACCCAGATATTCAAGCAGGTTGCCATAGGGAAACAATGAAAAGAGTAGTAAAATTCTTGTAACAGTAGTGTACTGTTAATCGAAAGAAGTACTTTATGAATTTTTTGTCAAAATGGAAGGTAAGCTTACCTTTGTAAATGTTGAGAAAAACAATTCTCCATCTAGATGTTTACGATTTCGCATACAAAGCCTTCCATATGTCTGAAATATATATTAACATGAAAGTACAGTCTGACTGAATAAATATTCTACTGTATTAATTACTTGTGAATAAGCCTTTATTAAAATTACAAAAAAACAGGCGAATGAGATGGATAAGCAAAGATGGATAGTGGCTAGTAGTAGAATCCAGGATGCGCGTTTAGTCTCATTTGGGACTCGTCGGCTGGATGTACCTGCATCTCAGAGTTGATGTTCACTCTAGGACTCGGATCCAGTACCTTTCGCTTCACATATGCCAATTAGAGACTGACCAGTTGCAGTCCTAAAAACATCAATGGGAAGATCCAAACAAACAACACTAAGTGAATTTCAACTTCACCCCATTGCACATAGCTATCAGGACTCTGTGGCCGAGTGGATAACGCGATGACGTTTGAAGTGAAAGGTACTGGGTTCGAGTCCCAGAGTGAACATCAACAGGTCTGAGATGCAGGTACATCCAGTTGACGAGTCCCAAATGAGACGAAACGCGCGCCAAACTGGATTCCACTGCTAGCCACTATCTTTGCTTACCAGTATGCACATATGCCAATTGGAGACTGACCAGTTGCAGTCCTAAAAACATCAATGGGAAGATCTAAACAAACAACACTAAGTAAATGAGATGGATATTTTGTAAAAAGTGGTTACCATAACTAATATACTTGATATGATTAAGCTTAAGTTATAGTGTTGGTTGATATGTTAAGCCCATATGCCTCATTATAGTTTCAGGACAAGCCAATTTACCTATCCATCATGAATTCCGTATTGACCTTGTTAATTATTCACTTATTAATCCTGACTGTTTTTTTATATGAACGTATGTGTGTACACTTCTTATTCTATTCATCACACGTTTATAATTTATTTTATATCTAACTATAAATATCGATAACGCTTGGTTAAAGTGAGTTGGCTTACCCACTATCTCTAATGCGTATTATTTTTGCTTCGCTCTCTCCTATTCACTTCATCCCTCTGGTTTCCTGTCCAAATCAATGAGTGTACAGAATATATGTATTCAAAAATCCATTCTCGTATTTGACTTATTCAACTCCGTTATTCATCAACGCGGATTAAGTCATGTATTACATACGACGATAGACAAGATGTATATTTTGACAACAATCATTCATATGATCTAATTGAAGTCAGTTCGTAGCCCCCATAAAATAATTTCAGTTGACAATTCATTTAGTTAAGATAATGTATCATATTTACTTATCATGTGAATTTATTCTATTACATAAAATAGATGAGTATAGCTCTGTCAAAGCGTAAATTTTTTTTTCTATCATCTATTGATCTGTGTGATGTTATACATGAGTTATTAGATATATGAGAGGAAATATTAAATCAGTCAGTTACTAACTGAGCTACTTTATTGATCAATTTAAAATGTGATCCATAATTTTTTAACTGAGTTCTGTGTATTTAAAATATTATAATCAGTGAGGAGTTTCGTAGCTATTATTGTAATTTAATAGTTGAATTTATGAGTCTAGTGCTTGCAAGTGCAACTATTAAATTAATATAATATCCACAAAACCCTTCTCTCATTATAATTATCATATGGTCACTAGTGACGGTCTCAGAGAAGTATTTCTTGGAGTTCTAGTGAGACGCAGTGGAGTTCAACCAGGTCTGTTGTGAGGTAGTAACTCACTGAAGGCAATGTTAGACGGTGGCGCAATTTCGTGGATTGGTTGAAGTTGAACAATAACACGGTTGCATGTCGATTTATTGGTCTAGAGGTAGGCCCTAGCTCGCAAGACTGATAGTTCCTGTGTTCGAATCTCGCGAGGTGGGATCGTGAATGCACACTGTCGAGGATTCCCATATTGGGACGAAACAGCTGCCCAGTGCTTTCAGGTTTCTCATAGTGGTCTAGCTTCAATTAACTCGTGAATTCAACAGTTAAATCATTTAAAACGTACTCAATACTTGTGAATATTGATGACGTTTGTAAAGTATGAATTTTAACAATTACAGAATTTAATAAATATTTACTTATCTACTTTTACTTACTGTAAAGGATAACATAAGCCCATTAATATCATTTGATAAAGATCTCAAATTCTAGAATATAAATTTAGTACAATAATTGTGAATATGTATCAAAGTAGTTTAATTTTTTAACTTTATGGTCTTATGTCACTATCAAGTTGACCTACTAGATGATGTTGTAATTATAATTTTGAAATATAAATCAGAGGTAGACTACTATGGTGATTAATATTTATAGTTAGATAATCCTTTTGGTCTTTACACCAGTTATTCTTTCAATAAAACTCTGAATTAAAATAACAACTAGGTAAATATACATACGGTAATCAACATATTTCCTAGTGAACAAGGTGTTGAATAATACTCCTTGAAATAATTTAGTTATCTGAACAATATAATGAACATGTATATCATGTCAAAACATTAAATATTACTTTTCATAGTTGAAATCATGAGTCAATTGAAGCTAGACCACCATGGAAAACCTGGAAGCACTGGACGGCCGTTTTGTCCTATTATGGGACTCCAAATATGGGACTTCAACTATGAAAAATACTGAAATCTCCACAAAACCCCTTCTGATTAAATATTGCATTTGTGTAAATAGAATAGAATAATTATGCTTTCAAAGTGATCTTTATCATGGTTTTTCCTAATATGCAGTAGTATTAGATATATATGTACGGAAAAGATCAAACTAATTAAGGCAGCTTGTAAACCAGCACCAGTCTTGATGTTCTTACTTTGAGTCATGGGAATTGTAGTAGTTCCTCATTTTACAAGTATAAGTAATAAACGATTCTGATATAATAATTAGCGACGGCCAGAAATAACACTAATCATTGTTATCATCAGTCTTAGGTATTACTTGTATTATTTACTATCATAATAATTATGACATATTTTATTTTAAATTACTTTTCAACTATGATTTTGATCTATTCATTAGAAATGATCACCCTAATGTGTAGATTTTCAGTCCATTTTAATTGACTTGAAGATAGTTAGTATTGGTTTTCAGCAACGAATGATTCAATCATGTATTTTAGACGAATACACTATTATACTTTTTAGTGTAACACAATAGATAATTTTCATAACTGTTGAGTGTAAATGGGTTATTGAAAACGATTATTTACTCAAGTATTCCTTGTTTTTAAATATTCTTTTCATTGACTTTTCCTCAACTAAATACTACATAAGAAACGGTTTGAGTGCTGAATGGTAAGCAAAGGTGGTGAATTGAGTTAAGAAGCCTATTAAAAGTTAATAACTGTGGACATTTTAAAACCCTATTTGGTAACATCTATAAGATAAGAAAAGAATAGATAACTGTTAACTTATAGATTTGATGGAAAGCCTTTACATGCAGCATCGACATGTCGGATGGTAATATTAGTACACAGTTTACAGAGGACTATCCTTATGTTTTTTAGAACAATAGTAACATTTGTCGGGATATTCAACCGCGAAAGAATTGGTTGATAGTTTATCAGTATGACGAAAAATACTATTTCACTTAATCACTGATCTGCAATATATCATAAAAATTCGGGGTCAAGTTAATGGAAAGAATATAGATTATTGGATCTATAATATGACCAGGTGGTTTACTAAAAATTCTTTAAGTGTTTTTTAGCAGTATGTTTAAATTCGTTGTGACTACCAGCCTTATGCAAACAGGGCGGAGATTTATCCTTACGATGAGAACCTTTACTTCATCAGGGACTCGATCCAAAATGGAGACAAAAAACTTAAAATTTTCACGTCTGATTGACGTCAGTCATGATGTAGACGGGCTAGACTGGTTCGTCTGGAAACATACATTTTTATGATATACAACATTATAATGATATCATAAATGTCGTTTTGTGGGATATGGTCTAACATAGTTCCTAACTTTGTACAGTTAACACGACATCATTAAAATCTTAAGTGTAATTGATCAGCCAACTCATACGATGTAGCTGAACAAACAATAAACAGGGATATTGAATCCACTGGCACCAGGTCTCTGGAATAAAAATCCACAATGTTTCTCATGAAGGTGATCAGTAGCAGATATTTCTTGTGATATCACTATTCTTAAGTTATTAACTTTCGTCATTCAAGTTTTATTGTCTGAAAAATATTGGCTGGTTAAATATATTATATAAGAATCGGTTTTCACATAATAACCTCATCTGAAACTATTCTTATTTGTAGTTATTCACCATTAGTTCAGTCTTATCGTCACAACTAGATGACAGAAGTGGCTTTTGTCAATAAGGAATGAAAGACGTTAAGAATATTTGATTAAAAATTTAACTGCACCACCAATTATCTAATTCTGTTTCACTTCGCTCTGAATTTCAACTAAATCTACCTATTTCCCAAGTCATATCTCACACTTTGGTTAGTTAGGAGAGTTTCGGCATTCTATTTATACAAATTTTCAAATTTGTTGTTTACAATCTCTCTGGATAAGAGATCGATTAACAAATCATCCAGAAATCATGTACATATCACAAACGTAATATATCTTTGAATCCTATTTACATAAAACACATTAGTTACAAAGATAATATACTTTGTGAACAAATCAGTTTTCGATAGTCATACTTCGACAGTTAGCTTTTCATTTTGGATACTGAAAGTCATTCAACGGTACAGCTATTCTCGGGTAAAATGACCATTTTAAACGACAACTTACCTCTTTTCCAAATATTCTGAAAGTGTTTTGTTTTGACAAACAACATAATTGTGATTCAAACGATCGTAGATCTGATGCTTCACAAATGAACTGGGATTGTTCCGGTCTATCTTTCTGAAAGTCACTAGAAACTTTAAAACAAATGTCGTTTAAACATTAGAAGTGCGACTAGGTGTATAGATTACAATTTCAACAACTACCAAACAGTATATTAGGAGTGGTAATTCTCTCATGATTTCATTTCATAGTTTGATTCATTCATAACATGAAAGTTGTAGGGGTTACGGTTGATTTGTATGCTTATTTAGCAAGTGTGAATGACATTTGAAGTACTGCAAGCTATCACGATAGAATTCGTCAAAATTAATTCTTTCCAGTAAGTTCGTTTTCAATGCTGCTCAATCATATATACATTTGTACATTTGTGTGTATCTACATACTTACTTCTAATAATCTTTTTACTGTCTTACGGTTTATCGAAGAGCACAAATAATCAGTAGGTATTCTGTAGATCTATATAAATGGAAGTACCATGTTATGTCGAACCAAATGCGTTGTACTCATATTGCACTTGTCAAATTTATTCAAGATTGTTTTTAATATTTATGTGTAAATTAGACGGAGTGGAATTATATCATCTTTGTAATCAACTATGATGGCATTTTAACTATATGAGTTAAGGCAGGTAATGTGCATTCTTTATAGTACTTAAATCCAATCGATCAACACATTAAAGGTAGATATGGTGTCATATTATTTTCACTCAGATAGCTTACTCATAAAGAATTAAAAACCGGTGATATGTAAATAATCTACCTGTTTCATTTATTCATGTAGTATAGAAAACAAAACTGAAGCATTGACCAGTGGAGTTCAAACCACGTCTGTCGTGAGATATCAACTCACTGAAGACAATTGGTGAACGGTTGCTGAACTTCGTGGATCAGTTGAAGTTAGACATTAACACCGTTGGATGCCGGCTCAGTGGTCTACCGGTTAAGGACTCTGGCCCGAAGCTAGTAGGTTCTGGATTCGAATCTCGCGAGTGCGGGATCGTGAATGCGCACTGCTGAGGAGTCCCATTGTATGACGAAGCGGCCATCCAGTGCTACCAGGTTTTCGATGGTGGTCTAGCTTCAATTGACTCATGATCTCAACTATGAAAACTGATAAGATTAATTCTGAACACTGAACTTCAAAATTAATATAATTTAGATAAAAGGGACATGATGTCAAAGTCACCTGCAGACATAAGCTCACGTCCCATAATCCAACCGATAATCCCATATTTTTCAGACATTGAATATGATCCATTGAAATACGGTGGATGTAAAAACCCACTAGATATATGAATGTTATGATCTCTGTCCAATCCAGATATGTATGGTATGAAACTGGAGACTTCTGGTCTATATATTTGTAAATATGTAATGTGACATTAAATTATTCTTTAAGATGTATAACTGGTTAAATCTTAGATAATGAATGAAAGAAAAATGTGTTGTTAAATTAATTATGCTTACTATTCATTGATAATCTTTCACATATCATTGTATTTGTTTTATATTCCGTTCCGTTGGAGAGGTTTACATAAGAGCCTTATGTAGATGAGATTTGAATCTCATAAGTTGGGAATGAAAGTGGTAGATAGTTTTCAGAATGACATGATAATTCAAAATTAATTGTAGGTGACAAAATAAGAGAACATGATCACCATTAACTGATCTTTGGATAATAATCAGTATTATTGGTATTCATTCCCTATTGCTGATCAAATTTAATTGATCAGTTGATCAATCCATTATTTAAAAGTTGTTGATATTGCGATGTATTTTGGTTAGACGTTAAGCAATATTAGGAATTAATCCAGATGTGTATCATATACTGAACAAAAATATCAGATATGTAGGCGTTCTAATTAGTTTATAAACATTATAATACTGACCTACTCACTGAAGACATTATGAATGGTTGCTCAATTTCATGGATTTGTTGAAGTTGGACAATCACATCGTTGGTTGCCGGCTCAGTTGTCTAGTGGTTAAGCGCTCGCGCGCAAAACTGATAGGTCCTGTGTTCTAATCTCGCGAGGCGGGATCGTGGATGCGCACTGTTGAGGAGTCCCACAATAGGACGGAACGGCCGTCCAGTGCTTCCAGGTTTTCCATTATGGTCTAGCTTCAATTGAATCACGATTTCAACTATATAAAACTATTGTGATATTAAGAGGTTGTTTCACTGGATAAATTGCTTCAGGACGTTTCGTCAGAATGCTCCTAAAACTATTTTAATTCTTCTAGTTAATTTATGCTGTTTGATAAATCATTTACATCTTAATTTCTAACGAAATATATATTTGTAAGCAAAGATGGATAGTGACTAGCAGTGGAATCCAGGACGTGCACAATGAACATTACAATCTGTAGTTAATTTGAATTCATTAAAATTATAATCAGTCTTAATGAAATCAAAATAGGATATCCAAACTATAGAGAGCTTAATCACTGTAAATACTAATGTTAAATTTTTCCCGTTTTATTTCAAACAATCTAGGTGAGCATTTCCGTTGTTAAACTACACTAGTTTGGGAATAAAATTTCATTGTAGGATTGGATAGATAAAGTATGATATTAAGCTAAAGTAAGTCAACTTCGTGTAGATTTTCAGTAATAAGTTAAGTTCAGTGAAAGCAGACAAGCGTTTCTGCTTTGCTCATATGTTCGTTTAATTTTTTAAGTGCACACCAATAAATCTAATTACAATCAGAAGGGGTTTTGTGGAGATTTCAGTATTTTTCATAGTTGAAATCATGAGTCAATTGAAGCTAGACAACCATGGAAAACCTGAAAGCACTGGACATCCGTTTCGTCCCATTGTGGGACTCCTCAGCAGTGTGCATCCACGACCTCACCTCTCGAGATTCGAACCCAGGACCTACCAGTTTCGCAATGAGGGTTTACTGAGTTTATTGTAATTATTAATCATTATGCATAGTATAGTGACTTCAAATGTGTTTGAATTGTTTTCATACAATATTTGCTTACCATTGTTGTATATAATCAGATTCAATCAATTCATTTACAGTTTTGATCCAAATCACTACAACAATTCGTTGTAGTTGAATGTAGGAAACCTGAAACTTATGTTTCGTCCTATACGTTTTTGATGAAACTCTCTCAAAAAACGAATATCATGGTTGACTATCACATGAAATGAATCATTTAATGCAGTTCGTTGCAATTTATTTAATTCTTGTTTATAATACAATTGGTTTCAAATCTCTATATATTAAATAAAATTAATTGTATAAAGATATGGTTGACTCTATTTATGTGCTCAGATTATAAAAGATGACTACTTGAAAAGTTCAAACGTACTCATCGTATTTATGTAAAGTAGCGTCAAATGATTTCAGCAGTTTGGTCTTCTGAGAATAGTATGCATTCGTAAAGTAATTATTTTTTAGCATTTTATCCTAGAAGAGAAACAGTGATTTTTATAAACATTTACATGTTTTCAAATTGTACAATCAAATGGAAGCATGCGAAACTACGATCTCCATTCCTAAAGATGTTAAAGTCAGTTAACTGCAAACCTGTTGTAGTTACACAGACAGATGACGGTTAACTGTTTTCTGAAATGTCATTTTAGTAGTCGTAATTACGACATACTAATATCTGAACTACGGTTCGTGACAAATAATCCATATCAAGAAGCTACTCTTGCTTCAAGTGTAAACGGGTTTTGTATATTATAACACACTGTGGCACCGCACTGGATAAATAATAACCTTAAAATTATGTCTGAGATGATTTAAGAATGAAGTATGTCAAGCGTGTGGCAATAACTTTTAGGAATTGGAAGTAAACATAAAATCTATTTTACTGGTTTATGCCGGTAGCAATGGAAAGCGTAAATTTCAGGAATGTTAGTATCAATTGACGAAATAGTATGGGAGAATGACACAAAATGGTGCAAACCATAAACCTGTCGGTCATTTGGAGATCGTTCTGCGTAAAGGTCAGAGATCATAAGTGTAATAAATAGAGTAGTTAAATTTAAGTTTGTTTTATTGCTGTATAACTTGCTCTGCCTAAGGTTCTGATAACTGTTCAGGACATGTAGGATACTTTGAAATAATTCCATTGCATTGTTACTTACGTAAAGAAGCAGGTTTTTATTCTTAAACTGTGATAAGATCATATGACATTTCTCTTAAACCCATCATTTCCTTTTCATTAAAAAATTGAAAATCCAAATGTAATTCACAGAATCGACTAATAAAATAGTATGAAAGTGGCACAAATAGTGCAACGTAAACTGTATGTGAGATTGAAAACTTCACTAAACTGTATATTGAATTCCACTAAACTAATAATAATTTACTAGAGGTTAAGCGTTCATGCGAGAGATCAAGGGTCTTGGGTTCGATTACCGCATGAGTGATCGTGGATGCTCACTGATAAGGAGTCCCGTACTAGGACTAAACGACCTTCCAGTGACTCCGGGATTGCATTGGTTGTCTAGCTTGGATCGACTCATGAATTCAACCATTGAAATTTACCGTTAGTTGAGTTACTGAAAACAAACCAGCTTAATTAAAGATGAAAAGTAATGTGCTAACATAATAAAATATGTAGATCTTATAACATAGTCAAAGATAGTCCAACTTATTCGAGTGGAGGTCAGTGAAAATGAAGTGATGTTGCATAACATAGTCAAGTACTATGTATAATAATTTATAAATGGAAGAGTTTATTGGATGAAAAAGGGTTGAATGATTTAGCGAAGTAGACAAAAATCATCAGGAGATTACGTTATGTAATGATTTTAAAAGTAACAAGAGGTAATAATCTACAGGATTGAAGATGAAGGTAACTGTCTACTTCATAAAGCAGGGGAGTTTATAAATAGTAATTATAATTTTTGAAATTTAAAGGGTTGCTAAGACCATGGGAGAATAAGGAATTAAACGTTACTCTCCTATACAAAGAGTTTAGGTTTGAAATGGTTAGTTTCTGTAACCTCGGCTGTGCACTAATTACTCATACAAACATTTTTGAGCCAGATCTTCATGCTTTGTACATGAGGTATGCTCTTAATTGATCATGTGTTCGAGAGCTGAGCTGTTGGTTGATCTGTTTATCCCCTTAAATTGCCATACAGGATAGTGCTCGAATATTCGTTTACAAAGAGCTCAATTTGTACAGTCAGTGTAGCCTGCTTGAAAAGAGCAAGTAAACCGGTAGATACACGTTGACGGGACTAAAAGCAGGAGTTTGCACTTGAGAATTCCCTGAACGAGTTTCTTGCTGCAGAAATAGTTCGGAGCTCTTCTGAATTACAAGTGTTTCTCAGGGATCTATATGGTCTGTCATTTATTATCTCAGCTTCCGTATCTCCCTTGGATTTAATGCTCAAGAATAAGACTTTTGTTATGTTTTTGATCTAGACTGTAGCCAATTGTTATGACTTGATCAAGGTCGTCGCTGATTCGTTATGACCTTACGAATTTAACAAGGACGTAATTCGCGTAAATTATCCACCAATAGAATACGACTTCTACGACCTTCACACTGTGACAATGACGTTCGATTAGTATGAGTAATCTAGCGTCCTTATTGATCCTTATCCGCCTAACCCGTTCACTTGAGTCCAAAACACCAATAGCAGTTGCTGTAATGCGAATCGTTTATTTCAAACATACTTTATCTATATACCAGACAGGCAGACCACACCACATCATAAAATAGGAAATAATATTTGTACAAAACCAGGCCAAATGAGGCTGTAAGCGTGGGAGACAATAATCAATAAAACTGAGCATAACATAGGGACAGTAAATCATATAGTAATAATCAATAGGTCACAATGAAGCTTAGATAATCTAGTTACCGAATAGTTATACAATAAGAATAATAGTCCAATAGTAGGTCCTGCAAGTTACCCGTACTTATGTCTTCGCTACTACATAACAACTTTCCTCGGAACTGTGGGAGTACGCTCAATTTGATGTCTTGATTTTGCATTGCTATTGATTATCGGATTATATTCAGCTCATAATCAAGTGTGTTTTCAGTGTATATTCATCTGGCTCTTGAGAATAGAGAATGTATTAAATTTGTCTTTCTACTCAGCGGCACTCAATTTAGGAAGTTCATAAACTGCCCGTTCCAGTTGGCTTTCTGTATAACAATTCATGTAGAGACCCTTCTGATCTTCAACTTAGTACAATATCAAGAGAGTGAAATTCTTAGCTCAACTCAGCTTATATTATGGACGTCATCGAGTGGTGACAGTTATTAAACTCTTGCAATATTTTGTCAGGGTCAGTACCTTCATCACATATGGTAGAAGTATCATTCATATATATCTCGTAAAAATGGAATGATAGGGTTCTCCAGGTCGGCCATAGAAGTCTGCTAAAAGCAGACCCAATGGAGATCCAATTGTAACAAAATTTATTTGTCTATAAAGATAATCGTCAGATTGCACGCTAAAAATTCAGCGTAAGAGTAGCTCTCTAAAAAATATTTTGGTAAACCGACGTCAACATTTTTATGTTCATTACTATCGTATAAGGAGAAACTCGTTTTTGTTAGCTGGACATTTGTGAATAGAGAAGTGACATCTAACGATATAATTTTTTTTCTTGACACACTGGCATTCGTTAGTGGGTTGATGAAATCGAAGGAATTTGAAGTGGAGTAATGTTACTTTAGTTCTACTGTCGGCCGAAAGCACACAAACCAAGCTTCTTGCTAAACCCAATTGTATCAATCCCCGAAACCCTGACATTTAATTCATCAAGAGAAATCCCAAGAATATTTAGTGGATTCCTCCAATCACTTTATCAAATCTTTGATACAATTCTTGGATGAGGTTAAAGAGATTCAAATCAATAGCAATGAATTGATGATATCCTTCGACGTAACAGCCTCATTCACCTCAGGTTAGGAAAGCAAATCCTATCTTTGCGCTTCGACGATTAAACAAATCTCAAAACGTACACGGAGCTTTAGTCAAAGTTTACTGGAACTCATCGGTTTATACTTAACAACATACTTTCAGTTCAACAATAAAACCTGAGAACAAGCGAAAGGAACGACGATGGGATCACCTATGTCAGGATGTATTGCAGAAGCAGTGATGCAGAGACTGGAAGCCTCGATCTTAACAGTGATCAAGCCGAAACTTTGGATTTGTTATGTGAACAACACATTCGTCATCGTCAAAAAGGACGAGCTGGAAAACACATACAATCTGATAAACAACGTCTTCGATTACATAAAGTTCACAACGGGACAGGAGTCAAACAACAAACTTTCATTATTGGATGTACTAGTCACCAGAACTAACGTTAGGAAACCGGATACTTAAGCGTATTGGAAACCGACCCACACAGATCGAATGCTCAATCAGAGTAGCAACAAATTAGGAACTCGTAAATAAACTGAGAACACACTGCAACACACTTACAGAGCGAAAAAATAAAGACACGTATCTAAAGACCATCATTTAAAAGAATGGCTATCTAATCAACTTCATCTAAGAATATCAACTCAGCGCATCAACAGAAACGAAACAAAGTACTGAAACCAACGAACGAAGTTTGTGCTGATGATGTCGTTCAGGAGAAAGATGAAAGCTCCACGACCAAACCATCCAACTCAGAGAACAGAACTCCACGAAAATGATCCCTCTGAGCTACAAATCTTTCTTAGCACACCAGTAACATGCATAAAATCATTGGGTAATTGGATGTACACAGAAAGTCTTTTTAAACACTCCTAGTGAATCAATTCAACAGGAAATCTAGTTCACCTTTAATTAGAGAATAATGATAATAATCAATAGGAATACATTAGTTTTAGAACTTACAATGAATACAAAATCTTTGTTTTCTCTTTCTTTCGCATTCAATGATTCCGAAGAAATTATCGACAAATTAATATTTTTAACCTAAACAATATAATAGATTATTAATTATGCAATAGATTAAAATTGAACAAACCTTATCAATGATGCCTTTATCTTCAGTGAACCATGAAGTTGATGATAATAATTGAATCAAAGTGATTTTTAATTCGTCAAATATTTCAAGCACCTATAAATTATAAACAGATACAATGATGAAAATATGTCAATTAGAGACTGACCAGTTGCAGTCCTAAAACATGAATGGGGAGATTCAAACAAACAATACTAAGTGAATTTAGATACACTGGTTGTAAACGATGGGAATTTTGGGTAATTGTTCATATGTTACTATGACAATCATAAACATTTTCAAAAAAAAATGTAAATCATAATAGGGAATTAACTTCGATCCATGTTAATACGATCTCTACCCTTAAACATGACCGCCCATAGGAAAGAAATCTTATCGCTTGTAAGCTGAAATTGACAACTTTCATCGATGAAACATGTTAAACTATTTCACGCTAACTTTCAATCCATCGAAATTATGCGTTATTTTGTATGGCACTGAAAAGTGTTATGTGACTACGATATATATATATATATATATATATATATATAATTTTTGTAATTTTTTTTAGAAATTTGAATTTCTCGTTTTCGCGCCTAAACGCCCATTTTTACCTTCGGATTGTATTCCCCACTTAAGAGGATTATAGATGTCATTGGTTCGTTTCCTCTTTTTAATATGCTGTTTTGTGACGGTTCCCAGGAACATTTTTATGCTGTATATATATGCTTGAGTTGTGTGCTTGTTGTTGTTCATGCTTCTGGGTGCTTGTTGAATATACCTTCCAGTCTTCTGAACCGTATCTTCTCCCTCTAGTTAGCAGGGCAGGGACTCATCTGAATAGTTTAGTTTGCCTTATTGTTATGTCAATGACCTTTCGTTACTTTAGATGATCTCGTAATCTCTCTAAACATAGCAATACATAGTCGGATAAATCAATGAGTTGGTTGAATTTGCGATCAGTAATAAAAACAGAAGTAACTTAGTCTTATAACATTTGTCAATGAAATGAGATTTTCGTTAAGAGCTGATTTCGATTGTATACAAGATTCTAAGATTCTAGTGCCGATTGTAATATTTTAGTTTGACCATATAATTAACTAATGTATGGATAATATTTTATTGAATTTGAAACTTGCCTCCCTTTTTCTACTTTCACTTATACTAGAATATTCGTGATTTCGTTCTATTGTCCATCGGAAATTTTCTTTCACCTCATCAATACAACTTGGCGTTTTTTCTAATAATTTTGCTGATATCCATCAATATTTTGTCATGTAAATAAATAAAATAATGTGGACAGTAACATAATTATTACGTCGTCCTTAATAATAAAGGAAGAAAACTAAGTGAATTTTTTGGCGGTAACCCTGTGCAATGATTCTTATCCCAGTATCACAACCATACAACTATTTCCATTAACATTAGTGTTTGAAATTAGTTAAATTTATGTACGTTAGTCAAATTGGAGAGGATTGATTAACAGTGCCTTAAGCATAAATTAGTAACATTTGTTTTGTCTACTAACCAGTTCTCTCTATTATTCTTCTTATCTACAATCTAACCAAATATTGGCATTATTGTAGTGAACAGAACACTGGTTGGGGACAATTGAATGTGTTTAAGCAAAGATTACAGACTATCTCAGTAAATTCTGATTACCAAACAATGAACAGTCAATTTGCAAATTAACAACCAATTGTTTCAATCTTCACTGTTTCTTCTCTTATTCCATTGCTCATGCATTTTCCAGACGATTGCGCTTCATTTCAGTTCTTTCCTCATCGGTCTTCTGCCAAAATACATTCTATGTCTGACCCACACCATATACTACTTATATGGATATAAGTAGACCACACCACATTATATTTTAAGTTTAGTGTATCATGAACAAATAAAAACACTCATTTTAATAGTTGAGATCATGAGTTAGTTAAAGCTAGACCACCATATAAAACTCGGAAGCACTGGACAGCTGTTTCGTCCTAACATGGGACTACACATCAGTGGGCATCTACGATCCCGCCTCGTGAGATTCGAACCCAGGATATACTGGTCATTTATTTAAATTATATTTTAATGTTTATATTTGCCGTAGATTTATTTTAAAACTTGCATTGAATATATTTCAGTCAACCGAGACAAAATCGAAAATTAATAATATTTCTGTATGTGGCATTGTTACTTACGGTTTTCGAAAAATTGAAACTCTTCGAAATATTGATTTAAGGTACTTCTCATGTTGTACAAGAAATTTATCACTAACACAGTGTGTAGAATTCTAAAAAAAACATAATCAGACAATAAACGATTATTTGATCATCAAATATTCCAAATAAAGATCATGATCATATGGTCTGACAATAATTGAGAAGAATTTTATTTTAAATTTGGCGTAGTACTGTGGTGTGTGATATTGATGTTGGTAGACATAAGTAGTAGGCATCACTAATCGAAAGTGAAATGCTTGGCAGTAGGAATTTAAGAAGATTGCAGAGAAGAGAACGAGAACAGAGAGTGAATGGTATGGAAATGAAGGAATAATCATTTCTGAGACAATTAATTGACATTTTGTAAATGAAGTATTTATTATATAGTTCTTAGATTTTACCAAGATATTCTGTAATGTATTAATTTGTATACAACTAATGATAAGGGAGATTTCAAATAGTCCGTCTACTAATTATTCCTTCTCTCAACACAATTCTTTTCATCCTGACAAGTGTTTAAGGAATAATTTGAATATTGAACATAGTTTTCATTTAGATAGTAATATATTTTCAGGATGGAAGTTTGTGAAGATTGTATTAATTCAATAATTGAATTCATGAGTCGATTTAACCTAGACCACCACAGAAAACTTGAAAACACTGGACAACCGTTTCGTCCTAGTATGGGACTCCTTCAAGATAAATTTCCTGGAGTTCTTGTGTAAAGCCGTGACCAGTGAAGTTCAACCGTGTCTTTTATGAGGCTGTTAATGAAGACAATGACAAACGGTCCATTAATATCGTGGACTGGTTGAAGTTAGACAACAACACACTGGATACTGGCTTAGTAGTCTAGAGGTTAAGCGTTCGCGTATGAGATCAGAGGTCCTGGGTCCGAGTCCCATTAATGAGGGATCGTGGATACGTACTGTTGAGGAGTCGCATACTAGGATGAAACAGCCGTCCAGTGTTTCCAGGTTTTCAGTGGTGGTCTCGCCTAAGTCTACTCACAAATTGAACCATCCAATATATTTCCAATTTGTAAACTGATTTGTTATGAAAATAATAATTGAAGTGGAATGAAAATGATGTCTAACTTATCATGATATTTGTTCTAATAAAATTTTATTCCTATCATTTGTACACAGAAGTCTATAACAAATATACATTACACGCATATAATATCAACTATCTAATGAATGCTGCGGGTTGATTAAGAAAATGGAAAAATTCAGTAGTTTCAACAAGGATCGATTGGTAAGTTTATCTAAAATTGAAGAGCTTACTAGTCAAGTTCTGTGTTGCTTGAATTTGGTTTTCATTAATGAGAAATATCATTTGAAAAAGTGGCCACAATTGATTAGGATTGGACTATTATTTCGTTGTGTTTTTGTGACAACTCAGCACCACAATCTAATAGATTCGAAAGAACCGGTTTACAATTCAGTATATATAACCACCATACTATCGTCGTTAGATCAAATAGAAATAAATGTACAGAACTTAGTTTTATACATTCGTGACAAATGCTTTTGGATATCATGTTCATAACTCAAAATAAAGACACGGTTTGACAAGTTTTTATGGCATCAACTCTCTACTGAAAGCATAACATTCAGTTTTAAAAAAATACCTTTTACCGCTTGTTGTATTCATAGCCAACATGTGTATATCACAAACCTTCTTCAAGGAATCTGGATTATAGACAATAATTTTCAAATTCTTGTATGATTCATACTTGAGTTCACGGAATATACTTTCAAATAAAACATTCCAATCGATCTGATCAAAATAAATAACAAGTTGAAATATATTTACAAAGACAGTGAATGACATGTCGCAAATTGATTTTCTACACATGGTCAGTGTCTCCCATCTAATCCTGATCTGTAGTTAGTATGTATTTTGTTGTCTACAATGGACGTAAATAACATTGAACTGTTCTTGCTAACTGCATTATCAGTAAAAGATAATTCTGTTTGAAATTTGAACCTATAATTTCTATTCATCATTATTTTCATAGGAGTTGACTTCTGTCAAACTGAAGAGTTATTTTAATTATAAACTTATGATTCATTAACTTGGTAGTTTCGATTGATGAACAGTTATTATTACGCTTCTTATTTAACTTGTAATGTTGTGTTATTGAGAAATAGACGACTGAGAAAGGTCAAGTGTTAACTCCATGGTTTCTATCTGTTATAGAAAAAACGTGATGGAAACAATCAATTGCATTTGCTTCTCTTTGTTATAAAGTATTTCTTTTTGGATATCGATTATACATTTATTCTGACCTTCCTTTAAGTGTGAAGTATATAGGTTGAATATTGTTTTAGTCAACTCAACTCTTAAACTGTTTCAGATCTGAAGCACTGGACAGTCGTTTCGTCCTATTGTGGGACTCCTCAGCAGTGCGCATCCACGACCTCACCTCGCGAGATTTGAACCAAAAACCTACCAGTCTCGCGCCAGAGCACTTGATTGACAGACCACTGAGCCGACTGGTAGGTCCTGGGTTCGAATTTCGCGGGGTGAGGTCGTGGATGCGCACTGCTGAGAAGTCCCACAATAGGACGAAACGTCTGTCCAGTGCTTCCAGGTTTTCCCTGGTGATCTAGGTTCAATCAACTCACGCTTTCAATTATGAAAATACTAGATCTCCACAAAATCACTTCTATAAACAGTTTATTTTCAATAGAATATGATTTGATTACAGTATAGCTGTATAAAACTTTAGAGAAGTTTTTTTGTTATGGTAGGTAACATTTAGTTAGAATTCGATAATAATGAAATTATTCTTTACGATTAAAGTGTGAACTTCTGTAACAGAAATCTCATGTCGCCATAATTTGTAACTAAATGTTTGACATCACACTATACATACAATTTCACATGTTATGATAACCGATAAGAATTATGTAAAACTGTCATACCATTATAATTGAAATAATGATAAGATATGATAGGTCATAATAATGATTGTGGCTTGGTAACAGTAAAGGTCTTAATAAAACTGATTTAAATTTACTTTAATAGTAAGTTAATGAACGGATGAATTTTCTCCTTAGTTTTATAAGAGGGAGAATGCTGATAGGCGACCTCTGCTCCTCCACGAAAGGTAACAGACGTAATTAGTAGTAAGTTTATAAGATAAGGAATATAAGAATATTAACTATCTAGTGGTCAGTGAATTAATAATATTTCTAAAGTAAGTGTTTAAATAATGGGATAACAAGGTCTACATTAGAAAAGTTCTTTGCATGAATATACTACTTTAAAATTGATTTGATTTTCAACTTACAACGGAACAGATTTGGATCAGATTTTCAAATGGGACTATTGTATACTGATTATCCACTGGAATTGCCTGCAACAAAGACAATATCATGCGTAATCATTATAATGAATTATAAACATAAAAGAATCATATTTGCCTTTTCGTCCCGTCATATCAGTTAGTGAATATGTTAACAACCTAATATTTGGTTATTTACACAGATATATCTAAATTTCCGACATCACTAAGGATAAGACGAAATCAGTTTGTTTTTTTCAGTTATTTTTTCTAACGACAAACATGTTTTAGTATTAGCAAGAAAGTGTGTACTTTTGACTAACCAGGTATTACGGATTAATGCATGTATAATTAGTTTTATTCGATGAACGTTGATATTAAGCTGTTTTAATCCAACTCCAGTTATTCAGTAATACTCAACAGTTTGATGATGGATTTTTAAGTTTTATAGCCAAACTATGGTATGTTTTCATTGATAATCATGAAATTGTGAAACGGTTAATAATATGGCACAATATGTGTCTAATTTTATTGATGAAAGCATTTTTAATAGGTCAAGTTCTGTCAAGATTACGGTTCATCCCAAGAGAGGGTAAAGGAGGAGGGTTGGTCATGGGGTCAGCAATTCCATCTTGTAGAAAACAATATTGGTAAAAAAACGATAACCAGAAAAAATAAGTTAAACCATTTAGACTCTATCTCGGTAGTTGAAGAATCTTCATTCATAAGAATTGTGACGAATCATAGTGAAGGCCGAGATTCTTCGGAATTTATTAGGCCAATGCTCCTCCTAACAACCAGAGCAACAATTGATATAGGTACATGAAATGTCCGGACAATGTGGGAGACCGGGTGGACCAACGGACTTAAACCGTAACAAGTGAAATCCACTTGAGAGATTTTACTGTGCTCTGGTCACGAAGAAGGGAATGCACCGCAAACACAGGGTGTTGCTCTGACGCCTTCCAAAGAGGCACGGAAAGCATTTATAGGGTCGGGATCTCATGGATCCAGAATCATCAAAGCATTCTTTAAAACAAAGAAGGAGGGAATCACAGTGAATGTTATCCAATGTTATGCACCCATCAATGATGGCAACGACGATGATAAAGATTAGTCCTACTCGAGGCTGCAATCGATTATAGAGAAGTGGTAAGGAAAGAATCTGACAATTCTGATGGGAGATCCGTACGCCGAATTTGGAATGGACAACAACGGTTATGAGGATATCATGGGACAAAATAGACTGGGAGAGAGAAATGAAAATGGGGAGAGATTAGCAAATATATGTGCATTCAACAAATTAGTTATAGGTGGCACAATATTCCCACACATACGCATACACAAAGCTACGTTGGTTACCTTGGACCACACCACAGAGAATCAGACAGATCATATTTACATCAGTCAAAATTCAGGATGACAATGAAAGACGTGACCAAGATGAAACCGAAGCTAAAGAAGCATTGGACATCTAGACAAACAGCATTACAAAGGCTTAATACAGCCTTCTTTTGACATACTGTCAAACTCAATGAATTCAAGATAACTCTCAACAAGTTCCAAGCCTTACAAGATCTACTTAAAGAAGAGGAAATTATTATGGAGGACAACTGGAAAGGGATCAAAGGAGCACTAGCTTCAACAGTTCAGGAGCTTCTATGAGTCGGAAAGAATCATCATAAGGAATTGATCTCTGTCAAAACTGTGGACACGATTCAAGAAGGAAGAACAACAAATAAGAAAGAACAAGGAAAGTCAAGGCACAAACTAAATATATAAAATCCGCCAGGAGAGTGATGAAGAGCGTTAGATCTGACATGCCGAAATATGTTAAAGGTTTGGAATTAACAGCGAATCAAGTTTCAAAAGAGGGAAATATTGCAAACCATAGTGATGGGAGAACGAAGAAGGCCGGTCAGTCACTGAGATTCAAAAACAGAGGAACGGGTGGGTTGAGCACTTAGAAGAACTGTTGAACAAGACAGAATCACTGAATTCACAAGACATCGATGCAGCACTGAAAGGTATTCCTATAGATGTCACTTTATCAACAATCGAAGAAATAAGCATGGTCATAAGACAAATCAAGAGTGGGAAAGCAGTAGGATCTGACAACATACTAGTGGTAGCACTGAGACAGAGAGGTGACTGCAGAGATGTTCCATAGTTTATTCATGAAGATTTGAGATGAAGAAAAAGTGCCAACAGATTAGAAAGAAGGATACTTCATCAAGATACCAAAGAAAAGAGATCTGAGCAAGCGTTAGAACTACGGAGGCATTACACTACTGTCAGTACTACTGTCAACAGAGTGTTGCTGAACCAGATGGAAGATCCAGTAGACCTCGAAGCTCGAGATCAACAGGCATTGACTTATCTGGGCAGAATCGCCGACAAACATGGAGGAATATGGTGTAGATGTGAAGGTACGGATTGGCAAAGCAAAGGCGGCATTCCCATATATAAAATATGAAAGTCAAAACAACTCTGAGCCAACACTAAAGTCAGAATCTTCAATACGAACGTCAAGGCAGTCCAACTATCACAACCATAATCAAAATCGTACAAGTATTTATAAACAATTGTCTAAACAAGATACTGAATGTCCGTTGTTCGGATGCCATCATCAACAGCCTACTGTAGAAGAGAACAAATTACCTTCCATCTGAAGTGGAAATTAGAAGACGTTGGAATTGGATAGGACATACAATGAGGAAATCATCAAACTGGATCGCGAGGCAAGTGGTAATTTGAAATGCTGAAGGGAAACGGAAAAGAGGAAGACCAAATAACACACTGTGTCGAGAATTAAAAGCAGACATGAAAAGGACGGATAACAACTGGAAAGAACGGGGAAGGATTGCTAGGGACAGAGTCGGATGGAGGGTGATGGTGAGCGGTCTATGCTCCTCCAGGAGGGGTAACAGGCGTAAGTAGGTAAGTAAGTAAGTAAACAAGTGGATAATTAAGTAATGCATCTCAATAACAATTGCTTAAACTATTCGAAAGTTGAAATTTCATTAGATGGCACAATGTTCCATTAATGTTCCTCAATACCTGTAATTTAAGTATGTTATTAACCAAAGTATTCGGACATGCCAAAATGTGGATAATAATATATTTTTTAATAATGGCAAAGTGGTTCTGCTAGTTTTACTTACATTTTTAATATCGGAATACAAATTAAAAACACCTTTTGCCAATTCTTCCTTATTTTCTTGTGTTTTGAGATTCTCCAAAAATTTGAAAATTTGTTCTTCTATTCCTTCTCCACTTTTAACTGGCTAGTTATTAGTTATGGAAAAAGTAAAACACACAAATTCCCGATTTTATCATGTAGGAACTACATATAATTCAAAAATGATTACTTTATGAGAATAAGTATGATAATGATAAACAAAATTTTACTAAATGGGATGTAACAAAAAATATATTGATTGTTAACTTCCTATCCAGGATAGGGTTGGATGCAGAGTGCTGGTGGTCGGCCTGTGCAACTCCACGAGGAATAACAGGCGTAAGTAAGTAACTAAGTAAGTATCCGATACTAAACTTATTTGAAAGTACCGAGTCTAACTTTGGGATAGAATTGTTATTAAAATGGGGGTTTGTGAAGATTGTAGTAAATTTAATAATTGAATTAATGAAATGATCTGAGCTAGATTACCATTGAAAACCTGGAAGTATTGGACGGATATTTTGTCCTAATATCGGATTCCTCAACAGTGTGCATTCTCAATACCGCGCGCTAGACTCTAACCCAGGACCAAAGGTTTCGTGCGTGAACGCTTAACTTCTAGACCACTGATCTGGTATCTAACAGTGTTAATGTTTAATTTCAATCAATCCATGATCATGCGCAACAGTTCGTCCATTGTCTTAGGTACCTGTCGCTACCCGACACGAATTGTAATCCACTGGTCACGGTTTCTCACTAGGACTTCGGGAAATTGATCTTCAAGTTAGCCATTAATGAGGACATGATAAATGTTTGTGTGCGAGATGGAAGGTCCTTGGTTCGATCGTGGCTTGTGGATGCTCACTGCTTAGGATAGAATATTAATCACTCATTGTTGTCTCAACACATGTATTACCAATAGCAATTAAGACATTAATATGAAATATATTACAGATTATTGATGTAAATAAAACAATTTTCAATTACATGCAAGTGTTTTGAAAGTTTTACCCTAATTAACATTGTCAATGTAGACTCTTTTAGTAACTGGGACAGTGTGGACGTAAATGAACCACTATTAATCAACATTAGAAATGATTTTAAGTGACCTAAATAGTCTTGTGGGATTCCTGTATAAAAGATTTTAATATTAATGTGATCATTGAGAATTCTAATGAAATTTTAATTGACATTAAAGTGTGTAGTTTCTATCTGTTGAATCGACTGTAATATACATATGATGAAGTATTCTATATGTGATTGATTAAGTTCTGTATCCAAGTTTATGGTGGCAAAGATCTACCAATTTGACAATGATACCAGCTGCTTGAAATGTTTGACTTAATTTACAACATTTAATCAATAGTAATCTTTCATCACATTATCTCCGTAGACGAATTTTCTGAATTTATCATCTTGTTACTGTGGCATTATTGTTTACTTGCATTTTGTCAAAAACTTTGCATTGTTTAGATTAAGATACAGGAAAACAAGTATGCGGTCAATGATATTTGTAAGATGATGTGGTATTTCTTATTTCTATTATTCTTGAGAATACGGCGGGACTAGAGTCTATGTACGAACCAATCAGATAAAAGGTAACAGGTCTTGGATTTTGGCGTGAAACTCATTCACTCATTTGGTTAAATGTCATTTTGGCATTACACCTGATGTCAGTTCGTGATGGAAATATTTATTCGAATTTCTAACCCTAACGTTTAACAGTAAATCCTCATCTTCATTCCTCACACTAATCTAAAACCCTCATTTAACCCTAATAAGTAGGTGGGCGTCATAAGGACATATTAGCGTTGCTTAAAGGTCGTCTATAAATTATACTCTCACCGAGAATGATGTTTGGTGTGATTAAGATAAAAAGAGTAAGTCTGAACTGTTTTAAACACTGGATCCACCATTATTCACTTGGTAAATATCATAATATGAAGTTTCCTCAATTTCATTAATACTTTGGATTAATAAAATTAACTTAATATGATGTTTCGTGTTACAGGTTACAATAAATCAGAAATAGACTGTCAATGAGATTCCATTATCAATTAAAAAAATAAGTCAATGGATTCTTATTATTTTATCTTACTATGTTTGAAGCACTTCTGGTAAATGAATCAAAGGAACATGAAGAAATCTGAAATGAAAAAAAGTTATTTGTGTGGTTTAAAAGAATTCAAATGAAATACAATTAAAAAGTCTTTTGAATGAACGATAGATTCGGTCTCTAAACTCTTCTGGTAACCTTCAGGCTAGATCTACACAGCGACTTGAACACGAGGGAAAAGGTGCGAAATATGGAGGAAATGTTTTATTCCAAAGGTTCGTTTATGTATAGAAAATCTAGGGTTTTTATAGTATTTTAGATGGCTTCGAGTTTTCGGAAAATTCTGGAACGCTACTAAACATAGCAGCAGTGTGGGTAGTCGTCTAATCGGGAAGTCGATATGTGACTTTTCACTTTCTAGATGTTTCTGGCAAAACTTCTAGTGAATGGTGATTGATTAAGATGCTTTTCAGTGTTTTCTGAACCTCTGTTGGATTTTTTCGAGGAGTTTTCTGGATCTCTCCAACACTAATCAGTGCTCATTCTTTCAGAAAGCATTTACTTTAACATATGCTATCTATAGAGAGCTTTAATTATTGTTTACGAAGTATTTTTTTGAATTAAGGTGTTATATCTAGAGCTCGTATTTCTAATATACCGCATATAACTAGAGCATCCAAATGCCAGAACCTTCCAAAGTCACAAATGAGAAGACAGAAGAAGATTGGAGAAAAGTGTTTGTTGGGCAAGACTCAAAATGTGCAGAAAATCATTGGTATTAATAGATATTAGCGTTTATTATATCAACACTATAATTCAATCAAACCACGAATACGCATGTTATGGTACTGACCAAAAGGAGCATGCCACGTTGATATTCCATTGCGTTATGATTGGATGAAATACTTCGGATCCTCTAGGGCCTCTGGAGGCTCTGTCTTAATTCTCATAAGCCGTCTTAATAGAAGGTTGATTTGTAGGATGATAAATGTTACTTTTCCAAATAGAAACACATGATTTTTGACTATTAGTACATAGATTTCTTGATATGAGTAAATGGATTATAGAAAATGTTTTTGTCAAGAAATAGAAAATAAGTTGTTCTAGGACAAAGTTATTGGTTCAGGAAAGAATGGAGTTATTTTTCACATTCAGAGTGTGTACATTTTTAGCTTAGTTTGATAACCAATTGAATGAAGTGATATAGATAGTAAATAAACTATAACTGAATTTAAATTCATTCAGTATTGTTTTGTTTGAATCTTCCCATCGATTTGTTAGAACTGCAACTGGTCAGTCTCTAATTGGCACATGTGCATACTGTGCGTATTGCCTCGATATAGCCTTGATTCACAAGCATGGTAAGCAGAGATGGATAGTGGCTAGCGATGGCGTTTGAAGCGAAGGTACTGGGTTCGAGTCCCAGAGTGAACATCAACAGGTCTGAGATGCAGGTACATCCAGCTGACGAGTCCCAAATAGGACGAAGCGCACGTCCTGGATTCCACTGCTAGCCACTATCCATCTCTACTTATAACTGAATTTGTTATTCATAATTGACGAAATTATTTATGAATTTTAGCTCAAAAATGCACCATTACACAAAATGTATGGCTTATTATGTAATATAAGGCTTTCACTTACTACTGACGTAACGTACATAAAACTATGATCTGAATGCTTTTAAAGAATAATACATACGTTCAATTGCCCTGATATTTATGCGAATCTTGTGATCACGAGAGAATAATGACGTACTTGTATAGTATATAAATAACAACAGTGTTTAGTACAAAAAAATTGTACTTAGGTATTTAGAACTTGGTTTAAGTCTATAAAGAAGATTATTGCAAACATCACTTTGTGTATTATGAAATGAATTGAATTCTCGAGGCCTAATAATTCACTTTCAAATTTATAAATTCACTAGTTTCTAAGCTGGATGGAAATGATGAAAAATAAATGTTTATAATTTTGAATTACTTGTAAATAAATAAAAGATAAGTAAAGATGGATCTCATTTGGAACTCATCAGCTGGATGTACCTGCATCTCAGAGTTGGTGTTTACTCTGGGACTCGAACCCAGTACCTCTCGCATCAAACGCCATCACTCGGCCACTGAATCCTGATAGCCACTTGCTTGAGCAATGGGGTGAATTTTTAATCCACTTAGTATTGTTTGTTTGAATCTTCCCATTGATGTTTTAGGACTGCAACTGGTCAGGCTCTAATTGGTCACCATGCTTGTTAATTTTGGCTATATCGGGGCAATGCGCACAGTATGCACATATGCCAATAAGAAACTGACCAGTTGCAGTCGTAAAACATCAATGGGAAGATCCAAACAAACAATACTAAGTGAATTTAAGTAAAAGATATTTTGTTCAATAACTTACATAAATATATTGGTTTATACTTTTGTTTCTACTTCGAACTACGTTAAAAGAAAATATACTTGTTCGTCCATTTTGAAAGATCAGTGGTAAAATTAAACTTGTAAGATTGAACAATTTATCATCAGATATATTCTTGCTAATATTGAACCCGTTATTATCAGAACCTAGCGGCGATAACCATCCGTTGAAAAGGAATGATATTAATTGAACAATTTTCTCTTTTCTTGTGGATGTTTTCTCTTTAGAGTTTGTGGTACAAGATTGGTAGTAATTAATAGCAGCCATAAGATGTGATTCATTTAAATTCTCTGTATTCCTCACTTAAAACGAAAGAAATCAATATACTAGAGCAATTTTCTAAAACATTTAAAAAACATTATTTATTTATTAAATGTTTATAATGGAATGAATTTAGGAGTTTTTTGTGGATATCATGGAAAATTTAGAAGTAGAGATCATGAGTCAGTTAAAGCTATACCACCATGGAAAACCTGGAAGCACTGGACGGCCGTTTTGTCCTATTGTGGGACCCCTTGGCAGGATGCATCCATGATCCCACCTCGCGAGATCCGGTTTCCAGTGAGAAGAAGTGATCAGTGGTGTTCAACCAGGTCAGTTGTGAGATAGTAACTCAATAAAGACAATGGTCGGCGGTTGCTCAATTTCATGGATTGGTTCAAGTTAAACATTAACGCCGTTTGATGCAGGCTCAGTGATCTAGAGGATAAGCGCTCGCGTGCGAGACTGATATGTCCTGGGTTCAAATCTCGCTAGGCGGGATCATGGATGCGTCCTGTCAAGGTGTCCCACAATAGGACGGAACGGCCTTTCAGTGGTTCCAGGTTTTCCATGGTGGTCCAGCTTCAACTGACTGATGATCTCAACTATTGAAATACCATTTAGTAAGAGAATAATGATGTGGAGACTGTCTACTGAACTGATTACAAGTCTTAAGGGACACATAGTAGATTATTAAAATGATATTTATTGAAGTTGGAATATAATTTGTTCGTAGAAGCTTGGAAATACTGACTTGATACAACAAAAGTATATGAATCTTAGGAATTGCATTGCTTTGAATGTTATTGCTTAACATTTATGCTTGGTTATAGGAAGCAATAAAGATTTTGAAAATGTACATAACGTAACCAAAAATCGGTTAAGCGAGTAGTTTAGCTAATGTTTACGGATAGCTCATATTTGTACCAAATACACCGTAGATACTTTCTATACGATCAGTTTTCTTAGGGATACCATCGACTCACCAAATAACTAGCTTAACAGTATCAAGTTATTTGATATTACTGTATTATCCTTACTGTTTGAGCTATATTGAAATACGCAATTTTGATGTTTCCCAGCTGTTTTCAGTTAAGCCAAACACATATTTTTTGTTTTCTAACACACCATTATTCACTATAAAAATTTTTAACAAAAATGATACCGTATTTCTTCATATTATTAGATTTCATTCTAGTCAGACTTGATTTTCATTGTTTATTGAATAAAAATATTAGATTTATAATCTACTAGATGAAAATAAACTCCACCTGTGACTATTCCAGGGTTACTGATGTTCACAAGACAGGGTAAAGGAGAAGGGTTGATCATGGGGTCAGCAACTCCATCCCGTAGAAAACAATATTTATAATAAAACTATAACCAGAAAAAAATAAGTTAAACCAATTAGACTCTATCTTGGGAGTTGAGGGATCTTCGTTCATAAGAATTGTGACGAATCATAGTGAAGGCCGAGATTCTTCGGAATTCACGAGGCCGATGCCCCTTTTAAGAAAGATGAAAGTCATTGAATCGATTACTATCTTTGTTATTGAAAACACAATACCACAATGACATTCGAAATGGTTTGTCAAATATTTCATGTTCAATTAGGTTTAGTATATAATTATTAAGTAATTAGATTATAACCATTTGTGTTTCTCTTATTATAAGTTTTCATTTGACTTATCGACTAATATCATACGATTTATCAGTCTTAAGTTATTTCCAATCTATTAGTTACAGTATATCACAATCACAAACACTTTCAGTCTGATATTGGATAATGGTTATTTTCTATTCTATGGTGTGATGAGTTCTAGGTTGTGTGTATATAAATTGTATATGTCTGAAATATATGATTTACACAATAGAAGCCGATGTTGTGTTCTAAAGTGAAGGGGTGGCGCAAGATGAATAGAACCAATAAAGACTGATATTTGACTGTAGACTATTCGTGCTGGTTAACACGTCATTGATTTGGCACAGTACCAAGGTCGTATAGTTCGCTTTTGGAAATGGAAATCTTGTCACGTGATTTCTGATGGGGCTTAGAACATAATGATCTGGCTCACTTGTGAAAGTGTCAATTAGAAAAATCCTAATCCATAATTAATTCTTAGTCATATTCAATTATTTAACCACTGTTTTATGCTGTGAAATCGATAACTAAGTACATATTAGAAAAATGACTATTCTTCTTACGACTTCAGTCAATAATTTCGTGTACGATTAGAACAAGTTGAATGTTTATAGAGATTAAAAACCTTGACCAAAATAATCCTTAAATGTGGAGTAATTAATGAAAAGTTATTTATTAAACTCACAAATATCTATGATGAAATTATCTGAATGTAATAAATGATCTCTAAGGGAATCATTTGACATTTGTTTGTGGCAAATAGTTTCCTCAAAATTATCACAGCTGGTGTTAATTTCATCATCTGTGTTAAAACCTGTGCAGTTACTATTGTCTTCACATGAAATAATAAAGAAAGAAAGTAAACACTTAATTATATTTAAGTTATGGGCAAATAACTCACACAAAGTGAGCTAATAAAGCATTCATGATTTTAAGACTGATAATAAGATACTATGGTTATTGAAAACTGACCAGTGAAAAGAGAAACATTCGCAAAAAAAGTAAAGTACACATAATAGATAGTGTGATGTGATCTACTTATATCCTTATCAGTAGTATATGGTGATGGTCAGACATAGAATGTATTTTGGAAGAACACCGATATGGAAAGAACTGAAATGAAGCGCAATCGGTAGGAAAATGTATAAACAATGAAATTAGAGAAGATGGATTGATATTTACAGAAGGAACAGTGAAGATTGAGACAATTGATTGTTATTTTGCAAATCAACTGTTTGCTATATGGTTATCAGATCTTAGTAAGATAGTCTGTAATTTGTGCCTAGACACGTTCGATTGTCCTAACTCGTGTATTATTCACTACAATAGTGAAAAATTTGTGAAGAAACATAAACGTAACAAAATTATGGTGATATTTTGGTCACAAAAAGTAAAACCACAGCAAAAAACTATAAAAGTAGATATGCAATTTAACTCAAATCTATCATAAAAGTATATGCAACTCATCCAACCAACTTGTGTATAATGATTCAAAGGCACTGAGAAATTCATTTCATTCACTTACGTGAAGCCATTTTCGGTTTATCCACTGTAGGAGAATTTGTTGTGGGTGGCGACAAGACTAGTTCGGTGTAAGAAATGCCAATAAAACAGAAACTATTAATCAGTTTGTGTACAATGAGGTGATGCATATATTTCACTAGATTTCATGTCATCATACATGACATTGTATGTCACCACCAACACTATTTATTAATTCTCTTGTGGAATTTCGGTATACATATTTTACCGATTATCTTTACGTTGTTTTTGTCCACTTAGACTTCTGTCATTAGAAGGTTTATGTATTATCCACTTTTGCTTGAATATTTCAATTTAACCATATATAGGTTTTAGGTTTTACATTAAGAAAAATTATCTTTGAAATCTTACATCTTCCCCTTTGTAAATATTGTAGCGTCTTAGCATAGGAAACCAAGTTTTGTGCCCATAATCCATTTGAGGAAGCTTATGTCTTCTTACATTCTTAAGTTTGTTCATTGTTACGTGGAGTAATGACACTGTTCCAAACTTGAGATTTTATAAACACGAACAGTGTATATGTGCTGTTTATTTGTGGATCGAGTAATGTTGGATAATAGTCCCATAACTGAATTATGTGTTTATTCTCAATAATTTATGATAAAACTTTACGACAAAATAAGTTTTGAAGTGATAAGATTTAGTCTAATTATCTGTTATGATTAGATTTCTCATTTATGTCTTAGTTATAAATGAATTAAAAAAAGAACGATACTAAGTTCATTAACATATTTTCTAACCCAATTAATCGATCTATCAATCTATATAGTTTAAATTTTCAGTTAAATAATTAAACAATGAACATTTGAAGCAAAGATGGATAATGCCTAGCATTAGAATCCAAGACGCGCGTTTCGTCCTATTTTTGGGACTAATCAGCCGGATGTACCTGCATCTCAGAGTTGATGTTCACTCTGTGACTCGAACCCAGTATCGTCCTCTTCAAAAGCCATCACGTTATCCACTTAGCTACTGAGTTCTGATAGCCACTTGCTTATGCAATTGGGTGAACTTTAAATTCGCGACGAAACACGCATCAAACTGGATTCCACTGCTAGTCACTATCCATCTTTGCTCATAATACTTGTGACTTCAGGCTATATCGAGGCAATACGCACAAGATTCACATATACCAATAACAGACTGATCAATTGCAGTTCTAAACATCATTGGGAAGATTCAAACAATACTATATGAATTTAAAGTACATTTTGTATCATGTAAAATAGCATTGTTTGAATGTACTCATGGTTACATTAATTTTTTTAAATTTATAAATAAACTTACGATTAAAATTTATTTTCAAATAATGTAAAAATAATATGGTTGATGCTAATAATCCACATACTGCACAAATTACATAGAAAAATATAAGATATTTCTGTAGTTTTGATAATTTCTTAAAAGACATTCTATTTTGATTTTGTATGATAGTTGCTAAGGGAAGACCTTTTTATATAAGTTGATTAGATGAATATATAATTACTGTGAGCAACCGTCTCAGACAAGCTGAATATTTTACCAATGGTAATAAGGTCATTTGGTTAGAAACAACTAAGTATTTTTCTTCTGTTTCTCTGGTTATTATTTTCTTTTCTATGTAATATCTTGGCGATTAAGAATTTCTAATTGCCTTCTATTAGATTATAATAGAATTTTTATTGAGTAAGAATATTATTACATATGATAGACTTTACTTATGATTTGATGGAAGGAATAAGTTTAGTTTTTATGGAATAGAAAACTAATGAATTAGAATGAGTAAATATATTATCTACCGCATATTTGGATTGATACTGTTAAGATCGCCAAGGAGAATATGACTTATAATGATCCGGACATTGTACCAAAACAATGACGTGGTAACCGGCATTAATAGCCTACACTCAAATATCAGTTTTTATTGATTCTAATCACCTTGCGCTACCCCTTCATTCCAAAACACAATTTCGGCTTCTATTGTATAAATCATATATTTCAGACATACATAATTTATATACACATAAACCAGAACTCATCACACCATAGAATAGAAAATAAACATTATATAATATCAGACTGAAAGTGTTTGTGATTGTGATATACTGTAACTAATAGATTGGAAATAACTTAAGAATAATAAATCGTATGATATTAGTCGATAGGTAAAACGGGCGCTCATAATAAAAGGAATATGAATATACATATAAATTAGTTAATGAATAGTTATTCAACAGGAATAAATGTGATAATTATCCATAAATAATTCTTAGCTTCAACCATACGTTTTCTTCATCATTAAGGTATAACAGATACCAAACTTTATTTAGTTCTTCATGTCATTTTAAACAACTAATGTCGTCGGTAGTGAGTAGTATGTAACACCAATCTGGAGTGCAATGCCTAGCTGAGAAGATGTTAAATTGACGAATACGGAAATGTTAACAGGGATTAACAACAATGAAAGAACGATGTAGATTAAGGCACTTGATGTAAGATTTGCAAATGAAGTATTGAGTGTACGATTTTTACATTTTATGAAACAAATCTGTTACTTTGTATCGTTCACTTCAATTGAAATGATTCGTAGCAAATGTAATCTATGTTGTATTGGGAATTAATAATTATATTAAAATGGTATTCTATGGATGCATTATGAAATATGAATAACGCTATATTAGATGAGAGCAGAAATTTTAAGGATATTGGCAGAAAATGTAGAATATGTACTACATAAAATCACCTCATACTTGAACCAAGGACATTGATTATTCATTAAAAACGGACTAGTTAATTAAATGAATTGTCAGAGTTTAACTAAATGGTCACGTTCTTATGTAATTGTATCATATCAGCCTTATGATAATCAATGAAGGGTATTCGTTATATTTTAAATGTAAATAAGTCTGATCAAAATATGTTCAAATAAATTTGTGTTTACCACCAAAACTCTACAAATAGACATCACAATCCTCACTAGTTTTGATTTACTTAGTAACAGTACAAACTGAACATTAAGATAAGTGTTCGAAAGGTATTTTAAATGTTATCGGTAAATATAGTTTATTGATTTTCAAATGAATAGTCTTGATATTCCTATTAGAAAAATTAAGTAATACTTCATAGATATCTAACTGTAGGTTACTGAGCTTGTAACTGGAACTCTGAAACTATAAACATAAACTAAGACATATATTTTTATCCCTTAATCGAATCGTCAATCAAACATTCTCCTCTTCCTTTGGTGAATTAAACTAATAATGAATAATATACAGTGTAAATGTCGTAGGCAAATATGTTATTATAGTTGAATTTTTCATTTAAATTTATCTGATTATAGATTTCAACTTCCATCAGATCTGCGATTTCGAATCTTATCATCACCTACTTAGTGGTTAGTAGGCTAGGTCATTCAACATTATACCATTAAAGAAGCATCTGTTAGTTTACACTTTACTAAAAAGTGCCTATATTCATGAAAAATAAAAGTGAAAACTTCGTTTACAATTTGAATTATTGTCAGATATATCGACTTATTTTGTACGAAAACGTTTTTAGTGACCCAATATCTGATTACAGTTAGACTGGAGGAATGATCGTTATCGAATGATTGCTGTGGAAATATGCATCCTGGTTACCCTCGTATACAATTGTTGACTGAAATCGCGTTGGTGAATAACGCAATTAAATAAATCAAATAGGAGAATGAATTTTTGAACACGTATCTTTCAATCGAACAGAATGCTTACTTATGAATGATCTATTTTAAAAGATCTACCATTATGAAAAAATATGTTAATTTTCACTTAGTATTGTTTGTTTGAATCTTCCTATTGATGTTTAGAACTGCAATCGATCAGTCTCTTATTAGTATATGTGCATACTGTGTGTATTGCCTCGATAAAGCCCGAAGTCACAAGCATTATAAGCAAAGATGGATAGTGACTAGCAGTGGAATTTAAACTTCACCTCATTGCACAACCAAGTGGCTATCAGAACTCAGTAGCTGAGTGGATAACGTGATGGCGTTTGAAGTGAACGATACTGGGTTCGAGTCCCAGAGTGAACATCAACAGGTCAGAAATGCAGGTACATCCAGCTGACGAGTCCCAAATAGGACTTGATGCGCGTCTTGGATTCCACTACTAGCCACTATCCATTTTATGTTAATCTTATTTATGTTATAATTTTTAGAACAGATTTCAACAGTTTCATTCACATATTAGTGATCTTTTCATTTCATTTCTGTCACTTAATATTAAATCTAATCATATGTAATCGATTATTGGTTTTTATTAACAAAATAGACAAATATCTATCTGAAACATTCAACTAAATTGTTTTATACAGTATTATACAATACTACTTACAATATTAGTAAGTAATTTGTTATTTCAAGAATTCAATTGAGGTTACTTATAAAGGTATTTACACATTGGATAGATGAAATATCAACAAACAAAAAAAGGTAAACAGACGGCTATCACACTATTAACATCAACGAATACCGTTTTACACCATATATTCTCATCATCATCATCATCATCATCATCATCATCATCATCATCATCATCATCATCATCATCATCATCATCATCATCATCATCATCATCATCATCATCATCATCATCATCATCATCATCATCATCATCATCATCATCATCATCATCATCATCATCATCATCATCATCATCATCATCATCATCATCATCATCATCATCATCATCATCATCATCATCATCATCATCATCATCATCATCATCATCATCATCATCATCATCATCATCATCATCATCATCATCATCATCATCATCATCATCATCATCATCATCATCATCATCATCATCATCATCATCATCATCATCATCATCATCATCATCATCATCATCATCATCATCATCATCATCATCATCATCATCATCATCATCATCATCATCATCATCATCATCATCATCATCATCATCATCATCATCATCATCATCATCATCATCATCATCATCATCATCATCATCATCATCATCATCATCATCATCATCATCATCATCATCATCATCATCATCATCATCATCATCATCATCATTATCATCATCATCATCATCATCATCATCATCATCATCATCATCATCATCATCATCATCATCATCATCATCATCATTTTCAGTTGTTCGCCTAGTACTATTGGTTACGCATTCGCTGAAGTTTTTTGTTAAACAAGTTTACACACAAATGTGAGTCCGTAATATTTAAAAATGATGAAATGGTCAGCTTTAAAAACTACACGGTAGTTATTTCTATACGAGTATCAAAATGTATGAGTGTTTACAGGACTGATATGACGATCATAGTTGTATTCACCACAAGACATTGTAAATGACACTACGTAACTGGCAAACAATAAAGACCGTTAGCAGAGATGGATAGTGGCTAACAGTGAAATACAGGACGCGCGTTTCGTCCTATTTGGGACTCGTCAGCTGGATGTACCTGCATCTCAGAGTTGATGTTCACTCTGGGACTCGCACAAGCAAGTGGCTATCAGGACTCAGTGGCCGAGTGGATAACGCGATGGCGTTTGAAGCGAGGGTACTGGGTTCGAGTCCCAGGGTGAACATCAACTCCGAGATACAGGTACATCCAGCTGACGAGTCCCAAATAGGACGAAACGCGCATCCTGGATTCCACTGCTAGCCACTATCCATCTCTACTAACCATGCTTGTGAATTAAGGTATATCGAGGCAATAGGCACAGTATGCACATCAACCATATTATTTTTACATTATTTGAAAATAAATTTTAATCGTAAGTTTATTTATAAATTTAAAAAAATTAATGTAACCATGAGTACATTCAAACAATGCTATTTTACATGATACAAAATGTACTTTAAATTCATATAGTATTGTTTGAATCTTCCCAATGATGTTTAGAACTGCAATTGATCAGTCTGTTATTGGTATATGTGAATCTTGTGCGTATTGCCTCGATATAGCCTGAAGTCACAAGTATTATGAGCAAAGATGGATAGTGACTAGCAGTGGAATCCAGTTTGATGCGTGTTTCGTCGCGAATTTAAAGTTCACCCAATTGCATAAGCAAGTGGCTATCAGAACTCAGTAGCTAAGTGGATAACGTGATGGCTTTTGAAGAGGACGATACTGGGTTCGAGTCACAGAGTGAACATCAACTCTGAGATGCAGGTACATCCGGCTGATTAGTCCCAAAAATAGGACGAAACGCGCGTCTTGGATTCTAATGCTAGGCATTATCCATCTTTGCTTCAAATGTTCATTGTTTAATTATTTAACTGAAAATTTAAACTATATAGATTGATAGATCGATTAATTGGGTTAGAAAATATGTTAATGAACTTAGTATCGTTCTTTTTTTAATTCATTTATAACTAAGACATAAATGAGAAATCTAATCATAACAGATAATTAGACTAAATCTTATCACTTCAAAACTTATTTTGTCGTAAAGTTTTATCATAAATTATTGAGAATAAACACATAATTCAGTTATGGGACTATTATCCAACATTACTCGATCCACAAATAAACAGCACATATACACTGTTCGTGTTTATAAAATCTCAAGTTTGGAACAGTGTCATTACTCCACGTAACAATGAACAAACTTAAGAATGTAAGAAGACATAAGCTTCCTCAAATGGATTATGGGCACAAAACTTGGTTTCCTATGCTAAGACGCTACAATATTTACAAAGGGGAAGATGTAAGATTTCAAAGATAATTTTTCTTAATGTAAAACCTAAAACCTATATATGGTTAAATTGAAATATTCAAGCAAAAGTGGATAATACATAAACCTTCTAATGACAGAAGTCTAAGTGGACAAAAACAACGTAAAGATAATCGGTAAAATATGTATACCGAAATTCCACAAGAGAATTAATAAATAGTGTTGGTGGTGACATACAATGTCATGTATGATGACATGAAATCTAGTGAAATATATGCATCACCTCATTGTACACAAACTGATTAATAGTTTCTGTTTTATTGGCATTTCTTACACCGAACTAGTCTTGTCGCCACCCACAACAAATTCTCCTACAGTGGATAAACCGAAAATGGCTTCACGTAAGTGAATGAAATGAATTTCTCAGTGCCTTTGAATCATTATACACAAGTTGGTTGGATGAGTTGCATATACTTTTATGATAGATTTGAGTTAAATTGCATATCTACTTTTATAGTTTTTTGCTGTGGTTTTACTTTTTGTGACCAAAATATCACCATAATTTTGTTACGTTTATGTTTCTTCACAAATTTTTCACTATTGTAGTGAATAATACACGAGTTAGGACAATCGAACGTGTCTAGGCACAAATTACAGACTATCTTACTAAGATCTGATAACCATATAGCAAACAGTTGATTTGCAAAATAACAATCAATTGTCTCAATCTTCACTGTTCCTTCTGTAAATATCAATCCATCTTCTCTAATTTCATTGTTTATACATTTTCCTACCGATTGCGCTTCATTTCAGTTCTTTCCATATCGGTGTTCTTCCAAAATACATTCTATGTCTGACCATCACCATATACTACTGATAAGGATATAAGTAGATCACATCACACTATCTATTATGTGTACTTTACTTTTTTTGTGAATGTTTCTCTTTTCACTGGTCAGTTTTCAATAACCATAGTATTTTATTATCAGTCTTAAAATCATGAATGCTTTATTAGCTCACTTTGTGTGAGTTATTTGCCTATAACTTTCTTTCTTTATTATTTCATGTGAAGACAATAGTAACTGCACAGGTTTTAACACAGATGATGAAATTAACACCAGCTGTGATAATTTTGAGGAAACTATTTGCCACAAACAAATGTCAAATGATTCCCTTAGAGATCATTTATTACATTCAGATAATTTCATCATAGATATTTGTGAGTTTATGAATGTTTCTAAATGCTCATAGATATACAGCCTTATTTCGATTTCACATCACAAATAATATACAAATGTTCTGAAAAACTACTTTTTAAATATCAATCTAGCACATAGCTGGCAATCAAGCCAAGCCCATATTATATGCACGCTTACGAATTTCAAAAAATTATGCATTTATAAAAAATAAGCATCTTAAAAAGATATTCTGAACTCACGCATTCTTAAGATGATATCATCTGATGTAACAAGTAGTTCTTCTAAGAAATCATTTCGAATGCATCCAATAAACACTTACGATGTTATCAACAACGTATTCGATTGCGCAAACTTTACGTTTGACTTTGTTTCTTCAGTGTACTAAACATAATTTAAGTGTATACTGTGTTGACACCTGAGGCCTTAATCTTTTGACATCTAACATTGGGGTATGAACTTCCTTTTTCTGTTGTACGCCAGTGCATCTATCATCAGGAAGACAGTGAATCTCAAATAATTTCATTTGAAGAAGCTTACACACAGAGGTTTCCGATGATTGTCAAAAACTAAGTAACATCTTCCTAAACTGTACCGTACTATTGTTGCTCCGTAAATCTGATTCCTTTTTGCTCGTATGAATGATTGTTTGTTGCTAAAATATACGTACTGTCTATCCTCGTATGTAATAAATGACTTGATCCGCGTTGGTTAATAACGGAGTTAAATAATTCAAATACGAGAATTGATTTAGAATACATATATTTTCTTTACTCATCGATCTGGCCAGAGAATCAGAGTAATGAAGCAAATAGATGAGAGCGGAACAAAAATGACGTGCATTGGAGATGGCTGGGAAGCCAACTCGAGAGCGAGGCAAAAATAATGCGTATTGGAGATTGGCGGGGAAGCCAACTCGCTATGAGCAAGCATTACTCAATATTTATAATCAGACAAAAATGAATGACAGACATATGATGAATAGGATACGAAGGGTACACATATACCCTCATATAAAAACATAGTCAAAGTTAATAAGCGAATAATTAACAAGATCGAAATATGACTCATAATGTATCAGTGAATTAGCTTGGCGAGAAGCTAGAATAAAGTATATGGGCTTCACATATAAACTGATACTACACTATCAGTTCACAGAAAACAATTATCTAAACACATTCAATCAGTTAATTGTGATTAGTAGTTAGGATTATAAAACATGACGTCGCCTTCCATCCAATAAACAGCTAGTAATAATCATTCGCTTTGTTCTATCTGTGACGATTAGTTCGGAAACATAATATGGTCCACATTTCTGTCTTTCGTATCCAATCCAATGGTAGGTGGTTTGAATCTCCTCCGTTTTGTAAACCTAATTTAACCCTTTTCCGCGGAACAAGATATTCGCTGTTAAACGTCGTTGGTGAATAGACTTACTCTGACTTGGTTATACATCACAAATATTAATAAACAAATAACTGAGCAACAAAATCAACGTGATAGCGTAAGCACATCTTCGACTGAATGGGAGCTTCTGATTTCTTTACTGTCGTGAGCCTTCTATAGAGTATAATAACGCGTGAATATCTAGACTTACATTGTGTCCTAACATATAACATAAAAGTCCTCATCTGTTGTATCATAAAATGTAAAGTATTATATATGCACTACAACAATAATAACAAAGTATTAATGCTTAAACAGAAAATATCATGCAAAGAAAGTTTGTAAAATGTTAGTGATTAATGTTAGTAGTATGAAGATGTTTCGTAGAAGTTGTTTTTCCCCAAACTATGAGTAGGTGATAAATATTACTTTAGAAAATTGTAATCAGAACCATTAATTTGGTGAAGCTTTATTAGTCAATGTGTGGTATACTAATTAATTGAACTAGTGAATGGTTCACTTTTTCAAACAGACATCTGTGTATCTTTGGTATAGATTATGAACTCCTTAAATAGGCTTGTATATTGTACAATTTGACTGATAGAATGAACTCTCTTCTGCTCATCAACTAAACGTAAAATGCTTCATCAGTAAGCATTCTGTTGGAATGGAAATCTTTAATGTACTGATGAATGGACAATACGTTTAGTATCACAGCGTTTCCTCAAAAACTTCAAAATCTCGCATCATTTGATAACATTTTGGAAGCTGAAAGTAGCATGTTTAGACCATAAATTCAACTTAGAATTGTTTGTTTGAATCTTCCCATCGATTTGTTAGGACTGCAACTGGTCAGTCTCTAATTGGCATATGTGCATACTGTGCGTATTGCCTCGATATACCTTAATTCACAAGCATGGTTAGCAGAGATGGATAGTGGCTAGCAGTGGAATCCAGGACGCGCGTTTCGTCCTATTTGGGACTCGTCAGCTGGATGTACCTGCATCTCAGAGTTGATGTTCACTCTGGGACTCGAACCCAGTACCCACTGCTAGCCACTATCCATCTCTGCTAACCATGCTTGTGAATTAAGGTATATCGAGGCAATACGCACAGTATGCACATATGGCAATTAGAGACTGACCAGTTGCAGTCCTAACAAATCGATGGGAAGATTCAAACAAACAATACTAAGTTGAATTTAAACTTCACCCCATCGCACAAGCAGGTGGCTATCAGGACTCAGTGGCCGAGTGGATAACGCGATGGCGTTTGAAGCGAGGGTACTGGGTTCGAGTCCCAGAGTGAACATCAACTCTGAGATGCAGGTACATCCAGCTGACGAGTCCCAAATAGGACGAAACGCGCGTCCTGGATTCCACTGCTAGCCACTATCCATCTCTGCTAACCATGTTTAGACCATAGTTTCCACAAGTATAGTATCACTGTAATTATAAAATTACAATGATGAATAAATGGATGTTCATTTTTTAACAAATTTCAAATTCTAAAGGATTCAAAACAGTTTTACTTGAAATGTGGTTAGGTAGGCTTCCTATTATCAAACTTAAAAAAACAAAGATTCATAATAATATCAACCCACTTTAACTCTTTGACCTGATTTTAAAAACTAACGTAACTTTAATGGTATAGTCTTGCGTGATGTCTCAAATATGTATTATTGTCTTCCAGTTTTAATCAGGGTTTTACTATAAACCGACGTGGTCTTATTGAGAATCATTTATGGTTTCAAAAACAATGTGTGTAGAATTCAGCCCATTCATAATTATGATAATCACGTCTGTATAACATGCTACGGCACGCAAATTTTATAGACAGTCTGAAACAATAAAACTCTTAAGATATTTATTTTGTTTGAGATAGCGCCTTTAAAAAAATATATATATATTTGTGTAATTAAACAAGTTATCTGAAGGCTGTTCAGCAAGCAATTGTCTTACAGATAAACAGAATGATCTTGAAAAACTTATCTAAACAGCAAAAGCTGATCTTATCGATTCTTGTAATCGGTGCTATATGTGCATCGGTCGTATTAACAATATTTCTCGTACGCCATCTGAAATCCAATACCAACAGTAGGTTTTGTTTTATTTTAAATAAAATTATCTATTTCTGTTCATATCTCTGCTATAATGTTCATGCCAAGAGAATACACAAAATAAAATATGTTCATGTGTTGTAATTGAATATCACGGTGCGTTATGTAAAGACCAGCTTCATTATCATATGCCAGTAAACTTCACTGTCTTCATGTCACTAAGCCTCTCATAGAATTACAATCTATAATATCTGATTAAAATGTATTTGTAAACTGAGCCAGATAACATAAAAATAAGTAGTATATTCATTACTTTGTCATTTATATACACTCACTTTACGCATAGATTTGTTATTGTTTTGACACCAACAAATCAAATAGATATGTTATTCTTCCTTGAATTTTATCCACAGCCCTTGTTTTTCTATTTGAGAAAGCTTGGATTTTTAGTGGCAGGTGTTGAAACGTACAGAACGTACATTCAATGCGTTCAACCGATTATTTAATGCACCTAATGTCAGCAACAATGAGATGTCATATCGAATCACCACTCATTGGTCATGAAACGCACCACAGTAGCGGTTTAGATTTTCTGAGTATTATGCATGCAACAGTTTGACAATTAATATATATATATATATATATATATATATATATATATATATATATATATATATATATATATATATATATATATATGGATTAGTGAATAACAAGTCTCATTATCATGGCTTACATCTAGCTATGTAGTCAAGAGTGAAGTCACACCCATGTGGTCAACGTATAAAAACTCTTCGGTCATTTGCTTGTCTGTGGTATTCATGTTTCATAGGATTGATGACAGGTATTCAAGGGAGGGTTGTATAAATATTTTAAAAAGAGTAAGCACGGCCTTCGTTGTGAAGAAATTCTTTATTATAAAACCCATAACCCATCTAGATAATAGAAGAATGATGTTCTTCGAATTTTAGGCTTTCTGTGTAATTAATCCCTAGATCGTGCACTGATTTAGCTGTCCGAACTCTATATTATGTTAAAGTGAAGTAGTAGTTGATGGGATGTTTTTAAAAATGCATGACACCACTTTTGTTGAGGGTAAATAGTAACTGGTATGTTTCACTCCGGATAGATAGGTTATCGAGGTTACTTTGAATGTGGGATATACTTTCACTGAAAGCTTCAGTGTAAAGCTGTATACTGTATTTTGAGATCATCTGGCATATAAGTACAGTCTCCCATATTTGATGGTTTTACACATATCATCTATATATATGAGAAAGAAGAGTGGACCTAATACACTAACCTGGATGACCTAACTAGTTATTGGTCTAGGTGATGAGAGATTTGTTACACTTTACCATTTGTTTACGTTTAGTAAGGAATGAAGCAAGCCACGATTATAGTGCGTTATCGATTCCGAAAGATTTCAGTTTGACAAGAAACGATCTGTGTGGAATCTCACTAAAAGCTCTCCCAAAGTCAAAGAATATAACTGATACAAGGAGCCCGTTGTACCGTTTTGGAGTTATATAACTCAGATGGTCTACCAGACATGCATCGCATAATTTGAACCTCATAAACCCCTTCTGAGAGGTCAAGATGAGGTTATTAGCAAGTAGATGTTGAATTATTGACTCCTTAACTACTTTCTCTATCACTAGGTACTACCGAGATCATATTTATGAGCCGGTAATTTTCAACCTACGCTGCAAGATGTGACATAGTTCTGGGTATGACATGTGTAGTTTCAGTGAGCTAATTGCCATGTAAATATTCTGTACATTGAAATCTACATTTATGATTCCACAAGAAGGTACCATTTGTTGTTGTGACAGAATATATTAGCTGGTTAGTTAGAATGTTCATGGTAAAAAAGTAAATGTCTAATAAATGTCTCTTACTCAACTTCGGAAGTTTATCAACCAATCAACGCAGCCGACAGTAAGCAAGCTGAATTTGAGAGCCTCACAACAATCCACACAGAGTCCCGTGATGTGTTTGACTCTGGTATATCATATGTGAGTGAGTTTATTCTGGAGTGAGTAAATATAAGGTGGCCTCCGGAATGTATTGTAACCTATTGTTTCGATATAGGAAATAGTTATCAAAAAATATAACTAAACAGGAAATATTACTGGTAGTGCATGCTTCAGATTTCATAATAGATGATTGTTAATAAAGGAATATGAGTAAGAATAAATCTGTTTATTTATTACAGATCGACTGTGCGTGTTATTTTGAACAAATGACATACAAATTTGAAGCGGTTGAATTTATCTAGAGGGAAGGAGTTATTATAAAAATCCTTAGCGTAATATGGGTTAAAAGCAATGGACTGAATATTCTTCGATAATTTGTTTTGTTTATAACCAGGCTAAAAGGATGATATGTCAAATACACACATACAGCATAATCAAGAGAGCAGTGAGAATACCATAAGACTAGACCTGTAATCCAGAATCAAGCAAAAGTGTTAAACCAAAGAAAGAGAATAACAATATTTTGTGTGATGATTTTAGAATGGTTGTTCGTGGCATTGATCGTGGAATATTACCCCACGAATATGCTTGTTATTAGGATTGATCACTTGAACTAGGTTACTAATAAATCTTTCGATACACGGTCATGCTTCTCCCATGAGGTTGTTGTGGCTGCAGTGAAATATTTTCCATGCAATTACTTGGATATGTGGATAACTATCGTCAGCAACATCATATGTCAAAAAGATCATGTGAGATGGAGTGACATATCTGTGTCACTTCACTGTACACAGACTAATTAATTGTTTCCATTTTGTCTTTGTAAATTTCCTGCATAGATGAAGACCTGTCTCCACCTACAGCAGCACCTGTTCTAATCAATGAAGTAAAAGAGCCTGGTAAAGGTAAGTGTGTGAAGGTGATTTCCGAGTGCTATTTAGTCACTTTTGATTTTAATTTTGCGACTATTGCGTGTAATTGTGCAAACGAATTGTGGTGAATCACGCAAATATCGAATGTCACATTTTCTTTTGATAATTTGCCGTGTTAGGGAATGTGGCATCTAATTATTCGTTGTATATAATGTTGTTCAGTGATTTTTGAAACTCAAATAATCCAAAGTAGTCATGTAATTCAAGTTTGAACTTCAATCATAAGAATGATCAATTACTTAACATTGTCAGACGTCATTATAAATGTGACATTAGTTCAATGTTTGTTTAAAACACGAGTTTTGAACTGATGAAGTCACAGCAATATTGTGAGTATGCAGTGAATTGTAACTAAAATCTGCAATACATTTCTAGTTTATCATTCGTGAAGACGAAACATGCTTCGATGATAGTTGCACAAGTGTTAAACCAAAGAAAGAGAATAACAATATTTTGTGTGATGATTTTAGAATGGTTGTTCGTGGCATTGACCGTGGAATATTACCCCACGAATATGCTTGTTATTAGGATTGATCACTTGAACTAGTTTACTAATAAATCTTTCGATACACGGTCATGCGTCTCCCATGAGGTTGTTGTGGCTGCAGTGAAATATTTTCCATGCAATTACTTGGATATGTGGATAACTATCGTCAGCAACATCATATGTCAAAAAGATCATGTGAGATGGAGTGACATATCTGTGTCACTTCACTGTACACAGACTAATTAATTGTTTCCATTTTGTCTTTGTAAATTTCCTGCATAGATGAAGACCTGTCTCCACCTACAGCAGCACCTGTTCTAATCAATGAAGTAAAAGAGCCTGGTAAAGGTAAGTGTGTGAAGGTGATTTCCGAGTGCTATTTAGTCACTTTTGATTTTAATTTTGCGACTATTGCGTGTAATTGTGCAAACGAATTGTGGTGAATCACGCAAATATCGAATGTCACATTTTCTTTTGATAATTTGCCGTGTTAGGGAATGTGGCATCTAATTATTCGTTGTATATAATGTTGTTCAGTGATTTTTAAAACTCAAATAATCCAAAGTAGTCATGTAATTCAAGTTTGAACTTCAATCATAAGAATGATCAATTACTTAACATTGTCAGACGTCATTATAAATGTGACATTAGTTCAATGTTTGTTTAAAACACGAGTTTTGAACTGATGAAGTCACAGCAATATTGTGAGTATGCAGTGAATTGTAACTAAAATCTGCAATACATTTCTAGTTTATCATTCGTGAAGACGAAACATGCTTCGATGATAGTTGCACAAGTGTTAAACCAAAGAAAGAGAATAACAATATTTTGTGTGATGATTTTAGAATGGTTGTTCGTGGCATTGATCGTGGAATATTACCCCACGAATATGCTTGTTATTAGGATTGATCACTTGAACTAGGTTACTAATAAATCTTTCGATACACGGTCATGCTTCTCCCATGAGGTTGTTGTGGCTGCAGTGAAATATTTTCCATGCAATTACTTGGATATGTGGATAACTATCGTCAGCAACATCATATGTCAAAAAGATCATGTGAGATGGAGTGACATATCTGTGTCACTTCACTGTACACAGACTAATTAATTGTTTCCATTTTGTCTTTGTAAATTTCCTGCATAGATGAAGACCTGTCTCCACCTACAGCAGCACCTGTTCTAATCAATGAAGTAAAAGAGCCTGGTAAAGGTAAGTGTGTGAAGGTGATTTCCGAGTGCTATTTAGTCACTTTTGATTTTAATTTTGCGACTATTGCGTGTAATTGTGCAAACGAATTGTGGTGAATCACGCAAATATCGAATGTCACATTTTCTTTTGATAATTTGCCGTGTTAGGGAATGTGGCATCTAATTATTCGTTGTATATAATGTTGTTCAGTGATTTTTAAAACTCAAATAATCCAAAGTAGTCATGTAATTCAAGTTTGAACTTCAATCATAAGAATGATCAATTACTTAACATTGTCAGACGTCATTATAAATGTGACATTAGTTCAATGTTTGTTTAAAACACGAGTTTTGAACTGATGAAGTCACAGCAATATTGTGAGTATGCAGTGAATTGTAACTAAAATCTGCAATACATTTCTAGTTTATCATTCGTGAAGACGAAACATGCTGCTATGAATTTCGTGAATTTTTTATTACAGGTTTTGTTGATCAACCTGATCAATTCGCCTGCGTGGATTACTTGGCTTCTTCTTGTCTTGAGCATTTTATCGATGGCGCTGCTTCTCATCCTACTGGTGTTGATGATGATTTCATCATAAATTTAAGTGAGTTTTTCGAATTCTATATTATTAACCGGTTGTCTTCTTTTCACGATTCTGTTTCGTTTTCTGATTGCTTTTTATTTGGCATTTTTTTGTATATATTTTGACGGATATTTTGAACTTGTTCACGTTACATAATTGAAGCATAAATATGTCTTATACGAATACCTACAGTAGAGGCTTTTCAAGTGTCGATTCTGCAGGACCGTATTACAACTCGAATCAAAAACACGTGAATGACCTATATATGTCGATGTGATTGAGAGTATTTGTTAGTAAATTTATGTGGCTACCATGAATCACATGAGGCGAAGCTGTGGGGAATAAATTTAATTGGTTTCTGCTCGTTTTAAATTTATCATTTTATTCGTTCTATCTGTAACCGTTGAATTCACGATTCGATATAGGCTAGACCACTAATAAATTCCTAAAGACACTGGATGGTCGTTCCATCCTAGTCCTTGACTCCTGAGAATAGCACATTCACGATTTCACAACACAGGGATTCGAACTCAACACTTTCGGTCTCGTGTGCAAACACCTATCATGTAGACCATTCACTTGGCATTCAACAGTTTCAATGTCTAACTCCAATCAATCCGTGATCTTGCGCTACCGCTTCATCCATTGTTTGAGGTGGATATCTGTCCAACACCCTACACGGATAAGACTCCACTAGTCGTGGCCTTCTTATTTTGTGATCAAGACCAGTCATGCATTCACTGATTCAATTCAATCCACCTGTTCTACTGCAATTTGTTTGGTTAAATTCCGTAGATAATGCCTCAATTTCATTGGATGGCTCTAATCGTAGGTTTGTAAATGGTTGTTCCAGTCTGCTCATCTACTTGTAAAAAATATTTCTTGAAGTAATCAGCTTTAATTAGTAGAGAGTTAAGATAACTCATGGTATTTAACGTCTAAGTAGTGCGCTGGCAGTTTATTAATGAACATGATAATCACCGACTATGTACATGGCTTAAAACAAGTTGGTTTTTATAACCATTTGTAACTGATACCAAAGGATACATTTTCATACGATTAAAATGTTTAAACATTAAATACTGTAACTTGGTTTAGTTTTATTAATTAATGACAAAAACATTTTAGAGATTTACAGACTTGTTCATGAGTATTATAAACAGTGAATGAAATACTGCTAATCATTACCAGACTTAAAGAAGAGCACAGGAGATGATAGAGTGAATTAAATACTGAAATTATAAGTATGATAACTTTTATTATCTCGGTCATGCAGACACCGGACTAAGTTTTTTTCAGTTACGTGTAGTTATTGTTAGCTCACCTCACTAAGAATAAATTCAAATATGACTTAAATGTCAACTGAGTCACCAGATAATAATAGAAGATATTTATAAATGCCCGATTTTCAACTATTGCACAGATGAAAAATGTAGAATGCCAAAATGATCTAGTATTAGATCTCAATGAGGATACACTGTACATACGAACGAATCTGCGGAAACTGGAAATATCACTCTTAATAAACATAAGTTTATCGTGATTATGTTTATTTGTTTGCCTGACAACAAAATAACCTAGTCAACAACAGGCTAACGTGCTACCCTTTCAAAATATCTATTCATGACATCTCCTTTACCTACAGAATTCAAGCTACGAACAACTAGATAATTCGCCTGAGACCGTAGGTCGTGGGTCCGAATCCGACGTGCAGGATCGTGGATGTGCACTGATCAAAAGTCCCATTCTAGGTCAAAACGGCCAATTAGTGCTTTCGGATTTTCATTGGTTGTCTAACAGTGATCTGTTAATGGATTCAATCGAATAAGAAAAACCTTGTCAACGTTTCAAAGAAGAAAACATCCTTTCAGACAATGGCGTTTTCTTAAATTCTACAGTCGTAATTACATAAAGTTTTACCGTGTGCATTTGATACTGTAGTATAATATTCATCAGTCAAGAGTTACGAAGTTCATCACAAATTCAATATGCAATTTGAATTTCGTTACTACGCCGAATGAATCATGTAAAGACTCATGTGATATGTGCGTAGAATTGTTTGCATATATTACGCTAATGTCACTAGTTTGAATTCACTGGTAAAATAAAATGTCATTGACAGATAAATGAAAACTGATACATTACCAATTGTCCTAGACGTAGAATAACTCATATCTACTGTCTGATATAAACCAACCGTTTGATCCTAAATAGGTCAATCTGTCTAGGGAACTTAATGATCACAAATATGACGATACATAGTTTAGAAGTCGATAGTGAAGAAATTTATTTTTATGCTTAGGCAGTTATACTCGATCTTTCCCATGCAATATATGATATGCACTTAATAGAAAAGTTACTGAATAACTATTTCTGTCGAGTGACCAGACTAATGCTTATACATTGAGTAAACAAAATTAAGTCGGTTTGTTGAGGCGGCCATAAAAAGACTATGTTGCGTTCTTGTTGAATCGTCGTTGATATCGATGATGAATAGTATTACCAAGTCTGGTATCCACTTACAGAATACATGACTACACATAACAACCGTAACATTTCATACGCAGAACTGATAACTTGGCTGAATGCGACACATTTCTACGATCTGAGTCATTCACCACGACAGTATTTGACGATTGGAGGTTGGAAAAAATGACATCCAGGACGAATATCAAAATTGTCATTGTCAGGTTCTTCACGAGGCTCAGAGATTTCATTAACCACTTGCATATCTACGTTTGCTTCAGCATCACCTTCACTGTTATCAGCGGATGTAGTGACATTCAAAACTTCTATTGACGTCTCCCGTTTCTTGTTCTACGGAAATAGGTGGTCTTGCTAGAATTGTTATACGGTCGGTCAGCTATATAAAATTTAAAATTATGAATAGAATTCAGGAGCTGGATCTGAATCAATGAGTGCAACAGCGGAACCACTCCAAGAAACCTGATAATCAGCTCGAAATGTTCTGTGGTCGAAAACCCAAGTGTTTCTTCAATTGCCTTCATGGAGACATTTAATGACATTCATTTGTGAAGAGATATTTCCTCTTTGTTGCTCTTGTATGCACCATCAATACCTGTGGCAGTCGACGATCTACAATTTTCTGATCTATCTTTGAAAAGGTGAAGCATTCCAGACATCCGTCTACTTGACAATGCACTACACTTGAACTTTCAATCTGAATGATGTGTGTAGCTAATGTTTTAAAATCACCTGCTTAATAGTGACTTAAATCAAGGCTGTACTAACCTGGAAGTTTCGATCGTTCAAATAAGCGTCATTGCATGTCGAAAATATCTTGGGTTGTTATTTCCTTCTCGTAATTTGCATACTCAAAATTGATAACAACAAAAGCTGCAGTTCCGAACATCTTTAAAAGACGAATCATATTATTCTGTTTGGATGTCAAACGACGAAAGCTAGTATCCTTCTTATATGTGATGCGCAGAATCTCGTGGTCATGACGAACTAACCATCTGGAAACTGCACGAAAGACTTCCACCAGCTGAACAAATATATAGGATTCATTACCATGAGGCTACCTTTACCTATGGATAAAGAATTTAATTCCAAAAAGACCCTCGTGTCGCTTGAGAAGTTGTTGGTCTCTCTGTGTAACCGCTCCTTTTGCAGACGTATTTTAAATAAAAATCATTTGGATTTCGATGACTTTCTCGTATTATCAAATATCACAAAGTCTCATTCTCACAAACTCTCATCTGTCTTAGGAGTTCCGCTTCCGTCAGATATCTTAAACCCACAAACACTTCTCTGAAAATCGAATCATCCCCACTAAATGAAATAGACATGAATGACTAAAAATGACATTTCTGGGCCGGATCCATAACTTGATTTAATTTAAGATCTTTTATGAGACCTAGTTCGTTGCAGATTAGTATAAAGCCACATCATTCATAAAATCATTTTCCAACTGTAGCGTAAATAATAAATAACATCTAATTCATTTTCGTATTGATCGTTTGAATCTCATCATTTATATTTAAGAATCCAGTTGATCAATCTCTTATTAGTATGTATGCATCCTGTGTGGAATACCTCAATATTGCATTCAGTCGCATGCATTATCAGCAGAGATGATGGTGGTCAACAGTGGAATACAGGACGTGCCTTTTGTCCCATCAGTGGCTGGTCGGCTTGATCCCATAGTTTATGTTCAGTCCGGGACTCGAGCTTAATAAATATCAAAATACACATAGGCCAATGAAACACTGATCAATCTCAGTCTTCAATATCAATGGGAAGATTCAATCAACCACTACGAAAATGGTCCAAAGCTTCACCTCATTGCACAAGTTTATGGTTATATGGACTCAGTAGTTGAGTGTATAACGCGACGGCAAGTCATTCCAGCATTACTGCGTTCGAATACCGGGGTGAATATCAACTCTAGGATGCAATTACATCTCGCCGACCAGACCCATGTAGGGCGAAACGCGCACCCTAGATTCCGCCGTTAACCACCATTATTTCCTTTCCGGTCAATTCCGATCATTCACATTTTATAGATTACATGTTTAATATTCTGTTTCAGCTTTGACACAACATTAAACTGTCATTCATAGTTGCACTAAAAATCTACCTCGAGTTATGATGAATTCGTGTTTTAGCCTAAGAAGTGCTGTTGGCTTCCCCTTTTTGGTATTATCAGTATGTTGGAAAATAACTAAGATGTGAAACAAAGATAAAAATCAGGCTATTTCTTACTGAAAATTGCTAGTAAACACCTGTGTTGTATTGCTTCAATAAGGATCATATACAGAAGACAGTGCAGAGGCTGAAATGTGTCAAATAGATTGTTGTTGTTCGTTCACTTGTCTAGTGAACCGACGACACACTGAATAAGACAAAAGTATACCAGCTTCATATGGTAGGTTGGGTGAAAATCTGAGGCGATCATAAAAACAACTCTCCTAATCGATCATCTCCCATCATATGTACATTATTGGCTTCTTAAGTGATATCTATAAATACTCATGAGTGACACGTATTGCTCTACTGGAATTCGAAATTCCGTTAAATTCATTTCGGTTTTACTCAAGTGGCATAATCAAGCTTCTTAGTAAACAATTATGCAAGCCAGAAAAGAAAACACTTGGGCAATAAAGAATGTATCCATGAAGAAATTTTTTTGGATTTGTAAGCCCTCTCAATATGACCATTATTTTTAGAGTAAAAATATGTTACTCAGTGCAAATTTTCTTTCTTACCGTGTGAAGACCATGTCGAATATCGAACTTTGAATGGTACAGTACAACGCTACAGATAATTCACTATGAAGACATCGACTAACTCTCTATTTTACACTAAACCTTCATGCGAACTCTCGTAAGTACCGCTTATGATGATTTATGTCGATTACTGGTACCTCAGACACGATCAGATGATTATTCAAATCAGAAATCATCGAATTGGACAAGTAGAAACATTAACAATGAAGATTAATGTGTGTTTATAATTCAGTCTTGTTTCCCTGTAAATTTGCGATAACTAAATGACCATTTCTTAATGTTAACTACGCCACTTGTTCATTGTTTTTTTGTATTAAGTGAATAACACAAACAATCCAGATGATTCACGCTTTATGAGTGCTGTAAACTACTACAAATCTTGTACAGAGAGTCCCAATGCAGAAATTTCAGTGATTGAAAACGAAGTTATTAAATTGATAATAACTCTATTCAAAGGCTGGTACTTGACAAATGCATACGACAAAATCCCTTTCAATGTCAAAAGAAATCTACTTAAAGATGAAACATTCAATCTTACAAGTTTGCTTTTACCTTTGTTGCTTCAAAGTGGAAGTACAACTTTATTTTCACTGAAGCTAGTAAATGATAGCAATCCAAGCATTGATGTAAGTTATTGAGTATAACATGAATTGGGCACTTAACTATAATATCAAGTTCTAAGTATTTATTTCCAATACCATTTTCAAATTGAAATCATATTATTTGAAGGGTTATTGGAAACAAGTAAAATAACTGAACATCTTTCTGTTTATTGATGAAAACGTTTGATAAATTTCCATGAATCTCTGTTTCATCATAATGACATTTAGTCGTTCAGTCAATCAGTTATTTAAAATGTGTTAGCGTGTTCTACTTATATGCACTGGAATGTTATTCAGTCACATTTAAATGAATCAAATAAACTAAGTTTTATTACTTTGTTGTGATGAAGAACTTTGCTTTTCCTCTGAACGTGTTTGAAAACACGATTGCACTTATCATGAGATACAAACGACAGTAAAAGGCTGTATATATATACTATTTATGCTGTAGTGAAAATATTTTCATTGCAAACAATTCAGTAAAATTTGGTAATGACGGCTGATCGACGACAACTAGTGTTTTCTTCTATGATGAATGATATCATATTTATCCAGCATGTAGCTGAGAAATTACATCACCTTGATCTGGTTCAAAGAGCATTAGGTCGATAAATCTGATGAAAATTTGGAGTGGTAAACAACATAACTTTATGGTTCATCAAAGTGAGTTTTGGTGAAATACCCTGGATAGATTGTAAATCGATACGGAAAGACATCTGTTCACGTTTCTTTAATGAAATGCCTTATTTTATGTTTGTATGAGTTACCACAGTATCATGCAAAAATCTCACACTATTTAGAAAGTACTTTGTTGTTCGTACTGAATAAGTTAAAATTGTGAATATTTCTGTCAAATATTTCTCGACAACATTTGAGTTTTCAATGACAAATCCGATCTCAGTTCATTCTAGTAACCGACATTTCATACGATTTGAGTTGTTGGGCTATCTTGTATGTTTTCTACAACTACAATTTGATGAATCTGTGCATTCAGAGCAAGAATTCTATGTGTTGATAAACAAATACTGGATAGTCCTTTGTGTAAATGAAGCATCATTTGTTTTACAAATAGGGCTATATAACTCAGCAGAGTAGCTTCTTTCTACTTGACAAACAACAAAAGAAATCTCTAATGGATATCATCTATTAAAATTGATTGTTTTTTTAAAAACAGTCGTTGTCGTGTAACATTTCATTTGGTTTCCGATGAAAATTACAGGTGCTTTGTTTTTAACTTCAGATTTCTTTAGGTTCTCTGGAGGCCTTTGATGCTGTTGCTCCTAGCATGGTAAGATTAAACTATCATGACTTATTTTTATTTCAATAATTAACAAGGTTTCATCAGACGGCTATCCTTGACCTATTGTAACTTGTAACACAGAACATGTAAAACACTATGTGAAGAGTTGGTGGATTTTAGAATCGCGTTTGTGATACCCTGAACAAATAATTGATGTATAAATTGTGTTTTACACTGAGATGTGGCCCAGTGTTTTAGTTTGACTTATATCAAGCAGAATTGTCATGCATAATGGAACTGAGAAATACCTTATCCATGTACAAATTTCAATAATTACTTGTCTGTTTCCTGATATCTCAAACCAAATGATGTAAAATCTTTAAAATGTATAAGCACTTTAAACTTTGACTTTACCAAGATGATAAACTGAAACTAATGTTATGGGCAATCAGTATCACTGTTTGTAATTATCCTATTCATTCATATGATAGTAACATATTCTATCAATAAATAACATTTTATGAAGATGAAAATTTGTGCGATTTACTTCATTCGCAATTAACAGTCCGATGGAAAGAAAATAAATGCAGCTGAACAACTTTTCGCATATCTGAAGAAACTTGGACCTTTAAAGGATAAGAAAAACATAATAAAAGACGTTTTACAGTTGCATTCCCAAATCAAAAGTGTGAGTAAAGTGACCATGATTACTTGACAACTATCCAAATTATGTTGTTATGCATGTTTTTATACATTCCATTGTTGTGTAGAAAACTGACGTAGTCTTCAGTGATTAATACATTAGTATTTCAGTCATGAGAACATGAGTAAGAAGTCTTGATAACTAATATTATTGATACAACTACTTATCGTCTTCCCCCACCGAAGTCCATATATGCTTTAATTTGCGAAATTACACACAAGAAAATCCATACTACATACGACTTCAAAATTTCACTATCAATAATTACAGCATAATACAGTTCACTTACATAATTTGAAAATTCAAAAGCTCTACTGAATATTACCGAATACCTTGGTTAGGTTGAAACAAATTCTGATGGATAAGGATTTGATAACATTGACGATACACAGATTTTATTTTAAAAGGAAGGGAAAAGTCGGGAACACTCGATTAATCGGTAATATATATATCATGGAGTTTCTAACTGATTCTAAACACATAAGCCACATGATGTAAAAATAATTATTTCCTATTTCGTTTCTTTCGAAATGATACTCAAGGTGAGATATAATAGCAAAAATAAAAAAAAAAACAAGTAAAATGGCTCAACAAAAGGTTGATAACGTTGTCGGTCGCATCAAACAAGATAAGAGGGCGGCTGGTGCATGTTGGTTCGAAAACCAGTTTAAACTTAATGGAACTGAACGATTGCGTCGATCTAGTTCTAAAATCCCCAACAAAGCTCCTTCAATAGACTAGATCAGATAATTGGTTGTGATTAGACTTTGCCATTCTATTTATTTCAGGCAATACAACCATCTGGTTCTGTTTCAAAAGTTACAATTGAAAAGTTATCAGAAATCTGTCCCTTAGTGAGTTGATCAAACTGCTTTTAAAATATTATTTACATGTGAAGCACATTTCTGATTCCCAAAGCTGAATGAATGGTATATCCACTAATGTGAACATTTACTTTGGATTAGCCAGTAATTTACCTGCTAGTTGATTGTTAACCTTAATAACTTCTCTCATTACACAACTAAGAAGGAAATTTACTCATTCGTTCATCAAACTACTGTTTTTGTGTTATACATTGCGTCCGAGTGGATGCCTAGTTAATGTGTGACTTGATGAGACCGCTAATCAGGGAGCAGCGAATTATCGATTGGAACAGTGACACACGAAAACCGTACAAGCAGTCTAGAGCGCTTATCGATCCTGCTTCTGCCTAGCCCAGCCAGTTAAGTCCAGAACACCAATAACAGCCTCGGCAATATGAATCATTATTCACAAACATACTGGGTTTATATACCAACCAAACAGACCACATCGTGCCATAAAATAGAAAATAGCATTTGTATAATATTTAGTCAATTGTGGCTCTGAATAGGGGGGAAAGTAATCAATAAACTGATGATAACTCAAGAATCGTATAATAATAGTTCAAAGGTCAAAATAAAGCTAATGATAAGAGGAACACGAATATGATTAGGTTAGTTACTTAACAATTATATAATAGGTAATATACATATTACACTGGTCTACAAATATTCCTCAAAAGTTACCTTTCACAATTCTCTTCGGGATACAACATTTTGTCAACTCAAATCAGAATAACAGTCTTTAGTATAATCTGTCATTTTTCAGCATTACTTCTACATTACCAATGTTGTAATTTTATTGATCACTATCACATGTATAACACTACAGATACTTTGATGCTACACATTCATTCATGTATCTTGTAACACACATAACGTTAACCGAATCCCACAACGTTTTTTTCGATTCAGTTACAGTTTTGTTGTGATAATGTTGAGTGTGCTTACATCTTAACCTTTAGAGAAGAAGTAATAAAATACTTATCATCTATCACAAGCGCTTGAAACAAAGTGTTTTTGGTATTTCACGTATCTGAGTAAACCACAATATTTATATGGGATTAACTTCACCAAGTAATATAAAATAAGACTGAAGTTCATTTGCCACCCTCATCAAATTGTGACCCACTAAGCCTGAACAGTCGTCTATGATGATGTTGCACTCAGAAGTGTCCCGTTTGTGAAATCATAGCAACCTAAATGAAGCTGACTGCGTATTCATGCTTAAAGTAGATGAGTAAAACATAAGTATGTCATTATGGAAAAGGTTGAAATCTGAATGTCTGTCTGCCGAACTGTAGAAGGCAATGTGTGTTGACTAAATACCTCAGAATAGAAATTCAGATCAAGCGAATTCACAGAATCCGATCACGTGCAGAAAATCGATTTGTGACATGGCCCATTCACTGTATTCGTAAATATATATCAACTTGTTATTTATTTTGATCAGATCGATTGGAATGTTTTATTTGAAAGTATATTCCGTGAACTCAAGTATGAGTCATACAAGAATATGGAAATTGTTGTTCATGATCAAGATTCCTTGAAGAGGGTTTGTGATATACACGCATCGGCTATGGAAACAAATAACGGAAGAAAGTAATTTCCTCTCACTATTGAGTGTTACGCTTTTAGAAACGATTTATTCTGACAAAATCCCTGTTCATAACTTTTATGTTCACACTGTTTTCTCATTTATTGATATGGTATTCAAAGTAATTCAATCCAAGAAGTTGGCATTACATAAGTTGTTGAATTACTATGTGTATGTTTATTCTAACAAAATCCACCGAACATTTATGTACGGCAAACTGCAAAGAGATTTGTTTCATACTGTTTCTTTGTTGAAAATTATCATTATAGAAATACGACGTTTGCTTATTCAACAGTACTCTTGACTTGGCAAACAATCAGACTTGTGTAGAATAAGGAAACCTGATTCCAGAATATTGTGAACTTTAGTTTGAAAGTCGAATTTAGTTCACATTTCGACTGTGAGTTCGAATTGATGTCTCATCGACGATATAAAAATAAGAAAGATTATAAGCAAAGATGGATAGTGGCTAGCAGTGGAATCCTATTTGGGACTCGTCAGCCAAGTGTACCCACATCTCAGAGTTGATGTTCACTCTGGGACTTGAACCCAGTATCTTTCGCTTCAAGCGCCATTGCGTTATCCTCTCAGCTACTGGGTGCTTGTGAATTAAGGCAATATCGAGGCAATACGCACAGTATGCACATATTACAATAAGAGACTGACCAGTTGCAGTCCTAAAATATCAATGGGAAGATTCAAACAAGCAATACTAAGTGAATGTAAGAAAGATTAGTTCAGCAAAGAGTTCTTTTCTCGGCAAATTCATTTTCAAGGTTGTACAATCGTAAATATATACTTATTTTTCAAAATGACAATAATACAATAATACTGATAATAAAATTCTGTGAAACATGACAATAGTGAGGTAGAATAAACAAAGGCAGTAAAATGTTATTTTTATAAAGGAAACTAATAATAGTTTTGTGTTGAAGAGTCTGAGTATTCATCATGAAGATAGATAGAAAAATAATTATGACGGGTTATCTAATAATTCCTCGATTTACAGGCTGAAATCACTTGTATCGGTTGTCTCACTTATGTGAACACACAAACCATCATAAGTAATAAGCTCATCTTTTACGACGAACATTAAATGTGGATTTTACTATGTATTTGTGAGTTCATAAAACTATTCATTGAACCAATTATGGAACATAGATGAACAAAAGTCAGAATATCAGCAAACAAAATATTCAAACGACTATTACATTAATTGATTTAACATTGAAGTAATTACATGCATAACCGTGGAAAGAAAGGAATATCAACAGCGGTTAACCTGTGAATTCTATTCCATGATGAGATTTTTCCTCCTTCGACTAATGTTAGGTCTGTACAAAATGTTTCCTCGTTATCGTCAGGTCATATAACTACCACTTCCCTCTCATTGTTTATCAATAAAAAAATCATTAATCTTTTAAAATTTTTTTGAAAGAAATCTACACGCTATGACGACGATCAGTTTCTTGTTCAACATGAAAAATATTTTGAATCGATATTACTCTGAGTTTTATCCTTCTACCATTCGTAAGTAACATTGTCAGTTACATTAATGGAATTAATTTTCCATTTTTATCTATATTTAATTCAAAAGTTTTCATTTCAATTCTAGAAGTTAATGTAGACTAAATAAGCAAACCGAAATATAATTTGGTAAGCGAAGATGGATAGTGGCTAGCAGTGGAATCCAGGACGCGTGTCCCGTACTATTTGGGACTCATCAGTTGAATGTACTTACATCTTAGAGTTGATGTTCACTCTGGGACTTGAACCCAGTATCTTTCGCTTCAAACTCCATCGGGTTATCCATCTTTGCTTACCACGCTTGTGAATTTAGGCTATATCGAGGCGATATTCACAGTATGCACATATGCCAATAAGAGACTGACCAGTTGCAGTCCTAAAACATCAATGGGAAGATTCAAACAAACAATACTAAGTGAATTCGAAATATAATTTACACAAATGCCGATATATACAACACATTAACTATTACCAATATTAGAATACATTGAAGTCACGTAATAGTTGATAATGAGTAGGCTTAAATATCAAAAACCAAATGTCACTTATTGACGTTATAGTCATCATGAAAATGATCTAACAATTAACTCTTGTTATTCAGTGAATTTCTCACTCATATTTCACACCAAATTACTTTCGATATGTGATTTCAACAATCAAATTAAGTTTTACTAGTGTGTATGTATCTGGCTGATTTTAAAGGATAATTTGTTTTAGTGAGAATGGGTAGATGAGTACAATTCTGTTATAAGTCATGTGACACTTAATATGAATTAAAAATAAACGACATTTCATTCATTTGTCTCGTTATATCACTTCATATATTGATTCATTTCGATGAAAATGTTAGCGAAAAAGCCAACAAGTTGCATTGATGAAGTAAAAGAAAATTTCCGATGGACAATAGAAAAGTATCATAAATATTCTAGTATAAGCGAAAGTACAGAAGCCGAGGTGAGTCTTTAATTTCATTAAAATACCGTCTATGCATTGTTCTGTTCACCTTTTTTGAGAAAGCACGATATTAGATTGCTTAGAAATATTCATGTTTAGATATGCAATTTCATTGTTTCTAATCATAGATTGATATAGTTATGTTACTACAACACGGTCTAAGCAAATTATTGTAAACAGTTTTATGCTCATTCAGATGGACTGTTATTCATTGATGAATGGTTTTACTTGTTTCATAGACGACGGTTGTCTGTTTGATCACATGCATATCAGAATGATTCCTCTTGAAGAACTGTTTCTTTCGCATGCAATAGGCATTAGAATAGACAACGATTGTGTTAAATGCGCCACATCAATTCCTTTCTTCTTCAATTCTCTAAAATACTGATTTATTTTGTGACATTCAGACAAGCATTCATATTTTACAACATTTGTGTAATTACTTCGATATTGAGTATTAAAACTTTCTACGTTGGATAGGTTCTTCAAATGTTCGAAGAACTGAAAACAACCTTGAGTGATTCATTGTCATCAATGTCATGGTTGAAAGAAGATGAAAAGAAGAATTATATCAACTTGGTTTGTCATATTTTAACTGATGAATCGAACGTTAATCCACTGGTTTTTTCAGGCTAATTCATTTCAGTTGTCCATAATTACTTCGAAAAGTTTGTCCGCAGAAGATAGAGAGAGCAGAGATTTTATATTCACTGTGAGTTTCATAAAAACTTTATTGTTTATTGATGATTATTCTGGATTTATGGAAAAACTGAATTCGTTAAATAAAAAGAATCACTAGACGTGTTGAAAGAGATTTCCATTGTACTACTACTCTGTTTACCATATGACTTGTCCTGAAGTCAATTATTCATGACTAACGTAAAAACAGCGAATGAGACAGAATAATATCCACTCGTTTCCACTTCGGGATTTCTCGTCAACTGATTACAATCACATTTACCATGCAGTATAGCGTGCTGTTCAACTATAAAACCGAGCAGTTAAAATAAAACGGATTATCACTTCTATGTATACATAAATATGTTGAGGCTGATGCATGTAGGAAACATAAAGTGGAGAGGGCAGTAATAATACATAACACTCTGGCTATTGGTTAAATAGACACAGATTCCACCATTTAGGGTTTGAGTGTTTACCAGCTACGGGTTCTTAAGAATATGCCGAATGGGCGATCACTTATACACCTCAGTCTGTTAATTCGATCTATGTACTTCATCGTATACAAGTGAAATAATGAATCCAATTTGACGTAAAACATAAGGAGAGATTATCTGCTTTTTTGAGCACTTCAATTCGAGTATAGTGGTGAGAACTACTGCTGGATAAGAATTCTTCAATGAAGTACTGATTGCGTGATTTGATAACTCATTAATCTAATCCCGTTTGAAATACTGTTGTGGGAAACAGCCTTTCTCTTCAACTGGGTCTTAGTCAACATGTTCGTCCTTTGACTTATCAACAGGACGTTGTAAGTAAACATTCCTTCGTAGTTATGTTTCAGTGACCGCTTGCCAACTACACCATCTAGATCTCGACCCTGACATTTATCGTCTTCATTTATAATTGAGACATTTTAACCTCATCACCTGAACGAACTACCGATCATCACTAGCTTAGTATAGTTCAACATACGAATTGGTCAAGTTACAGATCTAATATATGCAGTATGCAGAAATCCAGTAAATTAGCCTTGACAATGTCACTCTTGCTGAATGAGGGAGTTCAAACTTAATGACAAAATAAATTGTTCTCTATCTGACAAATAAAATCAAAATGGTTAAAGTTATTCGTTTGGAAATAGAAATGTACATTTGCCTTTTTTGGTTATACTACTGAACATTCATTATGACATACATGCAGTCAAAATTGGAAAATGATGTAAAGAAAACAATATCATGCTCATCAAATATCATTTGAAAGTTATTTTTTGATAAAAACTGTGGGACCAATTTGCGGTAGAACTATCCAGTCTTAACTAATTATAAAAACCCTCATTAAAGAATGTTGTTCAACTGTAGAATCTTAAATGTGAAATTCACAATACTTCATATAGTTCACAATAGTCTTCGATCTTTCTATAAGTTAATATTTGTATACCTGATTTTATTTATGGTTTGTACCATTCCGCTTGTCTCATTGATTTACTATCTTTTTAATCTATTCTGTTAAATACACTTGATTCTGAATGTATCATTGAAAAGAAATGAGGCGTTTTCGTGAAATAACATTCAATCTCATGACAGTGTAGTAGTGACAACCTGGTTCTCCAAAAAGTACTGATCTAGTGGAAATACATTTATGTATCTGTGGAGACCTGAACAACTGTTATAAGTAAAAATGAATAAATCAGTTACATGGAACATATTGACGAATATTTAAAATAAAATATTTTAATGGCGACATATCTAGAAAATTCCTATATTCGTTTAATTGATGAATATTCTGAGAATTCACGAAAATATCCCTTTCCTGTTTCAGAATGAAATATCCGAGGATGATTACTTCATGAACGTGTACTATTCTCAGAAGACCAAATTCCTTAAATCAATTTACAAATCACTGGATACCAACGCTGAGTAATATATATTTTTGAAGTGTTCATTTCACAAATTTAGAGTAGGAAAATATACTAAATCTAAAATATCTTCATAGAACTAAAATAATCCTGAAGGAAACTTTAACTATCAGCAGTAAAATACATCACATAATTGAGTTCCATATAACGAGACTCCTTGATAAGTTGAAACAGAGCAAGAGCGAAAAGATTTTCAGAATAATATGAATTGATTACTCTATTTCACGTTTTCTTACCAACTGCATTACTTAATTACTTACTTACGCCTGTTACTCCCAATGGAGCATAGGCCGACGACCAGCTTTCTCCAACCCACTCTTTTCTGAGCCTTCCTTTCTAGTTCTATCCAGTTTTTGTTCATTCCTCTCATATTTGTCTCCATTTCTTGACGTAATGTGTTCTTTGGTCTTCCTCTTCTCCTTTGGCCTTCAGGATTCCATGTGAGGGCTTGTCTTGTGACTCAATTGTGCGATTTCCTCAATCTGTGTCCTATCCACTTTCAGAGCTTCTTTCTGATTTCTTCCTCCTCTGGAATATGGCTTGTTGTCCCCCACAGTAACTTGTTGCTGATAGTGTCTGGTCGACGAATACTTGTGTTCGAATCACCATAAAAACATTATGTAACTAATTTCCTACAATTGTTTCAAGTCCGACTAACATGCACTTCGATGTCAACTCAATTAACCCGATGATCTTAATACGACTTGAACAATTAACTCTGAACAGTAAATAACATGGAATAGTATTATATCGATTGCCATTTAGAAACCAATCAGTGATAACTAAGTCTTTTGATCAGTCAATGTCGATTGGCTTAGCTGTATCAGGTATTTCTGATAGCAATTCCAGCGTTAATTTTAAAGTTGTACGGCACTACTCTTCACTACATGCAAGCGTTATTTTATCCCTTTTCTGTGGAAAATGTATATACTGTGTATTGCGATTTGTGAAAGATCATCGTTGAATTACCATACGCTAATTTAGCTAAACTAAAATTTTACTTTCATTTATTATTCGAGTTAAGAATAGTTGTAACTTTTACTATCTAAGAGAGTCCCACTTGTTTGTTCACATTTATATAGACCTGACGCTTTCAGTTTTATGCCGTACATATCTGGTTCGGCTGAAAATAAACTTATTAAGATATCTGCCGGTCTATTAAACCCACCATACCTCAAAGAAGGATATTCAATGTCTGAAAAATATGGGACTATCGGTTGGTTTATTGGTCGCCAGCTTATGTATGAAGGTGAGTGTTACATAATGTTCTTTTTGTCTAAATTAGATTGATGTCACAATTTATCATTTAGAATAGTTCTTGAAGTACTGAGATGTGTCAATTTATTTTACATGCTTAATCAATAGCTGAGGCGAGGTGACGAAATATGTAAGGGTATTTCCACTGGGTAGCAAAGTCTCCCTAAACTGAAATGTGTGAATCTTGAAGGTAGATAACGTGTAATAATTTCTAAAATACAGAAATCAATGTGACTTTCACAAAGTACTTATCTGCAATAAAATGACTTAACAGGATGGGTACCACTCGTGTTTATTTCAACTGCACTTGCTTACACAGAAATCTAACAATCATAATTCTCAGTATATGGTTATGGAAATTATTGGGTTTTAATTAAGATCATGAACCGATCAATGTCAGATCACCATTGGAAACCCTATGCCGATAATTGTCATATGCTCAATAGTGGTTGGCTTCGAAAATTCCGAGTTCAGGATTGTGAATGCGCACTCCTAAAGAGTCCCATGCTGGGACGAAAGAGACGTCCAATGCTCTGATGTTTTCAATGGTAGTCTAACTAAGATTGTTTCTTGACCTCAATTGAAAGTCACCATTCTGTTTACTTTGCACATTGACAGCGTAAAGAGTTTCGTGAATGAAGCAAGTGGAACCTGTAATATAATGAAGATAATTTGATACAATAAAATACGTTTTTCATAGAATATTCAGCGTCCCTCAACAAGGCGAAAGATAATATTTAACATGTTCATTATCAAATGATATGTAAACCTCTCACGATTGAACCCGATATACCAAATTCCTTAAGTCAATTTTGTCATGATAATGCTAGAATTTTAAAAGTTGTCCACACTTGCCACATGTTGACATGAATCACACTTATCCATAGCAGTATCATGATTTCTATGACTCAAGATATGCAAATCTTCTGAATAAAAATCATTAAACCTGTCACTTTAAAGTAAATAGAAGCTACTTAAACTATTATCTACATCCCCATCCAAGACTCAAATATTCAAATTATACTTATCTTACAGTGAATAATAACAAGGAAGAAGATAATCATGGGAATTCCCAGTCCTCCTGTATGTCAAAAGAAGCAACAGATTCTGAGGCTCAAATATGTTGCTTGCAGGAACAAGACAGCTTCAAAGACTACAACAAAACGGTAAGCGGTCCTTTAAAAAGTTAGTTTTGTCAAGGTGAAGTTGCATTTCCAACGGTTTTTAGAGTATCAATCTTGAAGTTGATTGGTGAGTTGCATATGCCGAATAATGATGTGCATATAACAGGTTATTCGTACAAAACATAGCCCATTTTATGCGAATAAGTTTCAAAAATGCATTATGTTTATCAGTTGTACACGGTTTCGCAATAGCATATCACTCATTCACTGCTTCAAACAGACGGTAAATGTTAGATGTGAATCACTTGCTAGAAATTTTATGATAAAGTAAAGTGTCAAACGTTATGTTGGTAATAGGCGAGTTTGGTTGAAAAACCCAACCAAAGCAAATACACTCCCCAATTCGCATAATCTGTTTTACCTGATTATGATACTATAGAGCCAAGAAATATCTTTACCGCAAGTGTCAGTGATTTCAGATGGTTGAGTGACTTTTGCCACTGGACCCAAAGTTATGACTTCCTTTCCGTTGTTGATTTAGATGTTCCAAGTGAGATAATGCTGATTCGGGAACCATTTAACTAGATCGTTTGTAATGCACTTAAACCTTTAGGCAAACCAATTTTAACATCATTTATTTCTTTTCAAAAAAACACCAATCCAACAAAAGTAGTTTTTCCGCCCCTCTATTAGTCAATGACCATACGTCGAGAACTGAAAACCCACGAACTCAGTGTATCTCACCCATTTGTTTAAACGGTGAGAATCAGATGGTTACAAAGACATCTCGGATTGTCCACCATGTTTTGGACCAAACGTTATGTGAAAAAGAGGATCGACCTATATGTCATTGTAGGACTTAAAGATCACATACTATTTATTATCAACTTATTAGTCTGTAGTTCTTTTTTATTCTTTTAAAATAAAGATGCACCTAAATAAGATCACACCGATGTTTAAAGCCGTATAAATTCAAACTACTCAGTAGCCTATTCTACCATTTTCACTGACTACTTGGTAATACAAGCGATTTTCCTTGAATGTCAAATTTCAACAAATCAAACAAAAAAATATTCAGAAACAAAGATCATTTAGATCAACAACTTTTTCCACTAACCCACCTATATTATACAATTTTAAATGTATAACAAATTATTATTATTTATTGTTAATAACTATAACTTACATGAGGCATAGAAATTTACAAACAAGGTCAAATTGTTACCGATGCGATCTTTAATGAAGTAAACTCCTTTACTCATTTCGGTTGTCCTGTTTTACCGCAGAAGCAGGATAAATACAGCATAAAGTGTGTTACAATGGACAGTCGTTCACAAAATGTAAATAAGTCACTGTTATCAATTAGGAACAATGGTTTACACGTCTTTCATATTCATTTTTATTTTACATGCACTACTGAAAACTAATTGTGAAAGTGGTGAACAAACAGTATAGAACTTCATTTAAAATGTTGTAAGACTATTTAATCAAAGACCAGATTACTTGATATACTGTGACAATTTTCAAAGTCACTTTATATGTTTACTTTGCTTCTTGTTCATACTAGGATTTGAGATCTTTGTCAGCCGATATTAATGGTCTCATGTTATCTTTTAAAGTAAGTGAATGTAGACAAGTTTGTATTCATTGATTTCTTCCAGCAATATTACTTGTCACTTAAACATGACATGTATTTTCGTAAGCGTTGTATTTTACCGGTGAAGTAGTAACATTTTCAATTCACTGAATAGTTGCCATATGAAATAACATAGTTGGTAAAATATGGATTTCATATCAAAACAATGAATTAGATGATGTAATTTTAACAGTAGTTTAGTCAGTAATTGGTTGGTGTATTGTTTGTTTTCATATACCGAGAAGCAGGTAGAAACTTTTCTTACGATTAAAACCCTATCATACAGTGAACACCAAACAAGTGATTGGATTTTAGAAAGATGAAAATTACATAGACTGATTCATACGTCTTCACCCTATTTAGTAGGTTAAATTCAGAAGACATATATTGGTTAATCTACAGAATCGTAATTCAAGACAGAGATGTGTACTTACATTGTTCTAATAAGTAGATTGTGAATTTCTCAGTTTTCCATTCTTATAGATGTCCTTAATCCTAATATAGAGATAAGTATGTCAATTTTTGCCACGAATGCTTGCTTGCTAACACATTAATTACATGATCGCTCAATTATCAATTATCATACAAAGGGAACTAGATGAAGTTCCGCTCCCAAGCAATGAATGCATGAAAATGCCTATCCACATGGATTATTCGATTTCGCTAACTGATTTACTTTTATTCCAGACATACGCGAGTGATGGAGATTTGGATGGAAAGAAGTTGTTTTTCTCATCGTTTGCAAAAGTATGTATTTCTAGATATCATAAATTTCACTCTTACTTAGAGTATGTATTACAAGCTTATTAATATCATGTAAGAATGTTAGTTTCATTGTTCAGTGGCTACAAACACGCAATTTAAAGATTAGGTGAAATAAATATTTACTAGGATATCTACAGAAGTGACTACAGAATAATTTAAGTGTTATTCATCAATCTATGAGATTAAATAAAAATCAATCATCAAGACAAAATTTTATTTCAATAGGAGTCGAAACGTTTTAGTTGAACACTGACAAACTCTCTTTTTGTGACATCTGTTTCACATAGAACCATTTGAGAATGTTTTACATATTTATTGATTTGAGAGTAGAGTTTCAATAATGAGATGTGTTAATAAACCGTCACGTATATTAGGACATCGAAGAGTCAATCAAACAACTACAAATGAAATGATTGTAAGTACTTTGCTTACCACATTTACAGGATTGAAATTAATTAACAACGAACAATTTCTCACTCGAAAATATATTATTCAGTGAACAAATGGTGTATACTTAGTGGATAGTTTAGTCGTGTAATGCGTTTTAACGTAACCATGGTACATTGCAGAGAATTCACGAAGTAAATCCAGATGTCCGTGATTAGAATTTAAAATATAAACATACTGAATTCAATTACTGCTTATGATCATTGTTTGAGACCTATGAGAAAGATCAGTTAATTATCTATCCTCCTAAAATACATTAATAGACTATGTTTGAAGTCAATTCATCTAACGTGTTAACTAGAGTGAATGCGTTTATAAGCAGTTTGTGAACAGGATAATATGAATCGAGCCCTCAAAAATCATTATCCAAATGCTAAAATTGGGGAAATTGCTGTGAAACTCTTCTCCATAGTCAAGAGACAACATACAGTACGTTTGTGCCTACTAAAATTAAATCAGAATTTAACTATTAGTAATCAGAAACAATATTAAAAAGCATAAGCCATTAAATCACAGGGAACGTTAGAAATGTCACCATTTTTCAGCCAACTTTAATAGCTGACATTGAAGTCAATTGTAGGTTGAAATAATCGACTCTGTCAGCAAATTTCGATGAATTATCACCTAAATCATTGTAATCAACTAATAATGAATTAGAAATAACCAGTTGATCATTTAGAAAGCATCACAGTTACAATTATTTTAGAGATAAAGATAGGCTGACAACAAACGTGTGAAATGTTTGAAGGAGTGTGGATTAAACGCGTCGAAACAACTATTTCATAAATCATTTTGTTACTCGGAGTAATTTACATCTCACAGTGATAACATTTGTAGAAACGTGTGTCATACGAGCTCTCCATTCCAGGATAACTGTCGTGATTATCGAGTACATAAAACGTCCTACCTCACCTTTAGAAATGCACAAAATAATTGGGATGAGTGTTACGTCAACTCAACGGTAAATTATATAACAACCATATACTGGTTTACTATTACTTGTGTCATTGACCTTATTCCTTCGAAATACTATAGTCTAAACTTCTTTCCAATATTCTGTGTATGTTCTTCTAGTCTAAAACACTTCACAATAAGTATCCATTAACTTCATTGAATTTCTATTTGATAAATCAGTTCACTGTTCATACTTGCTTACTTACTTTTATTTATTCCTAATGAATGAAGATGATGTGTACTAGATACTCCGCAGATGTTATTACCACAAACTTACAGTCTTCCAACTCCAGATACAAATTCAGGTAATTGATTTAAATGTACATTTTCAATTTTCGATAAAATTATTTACTAATACATATCTCTGAAGTATGATAAAGTGAACACGATTAATGAATGACACGTGTTTCATATGATAGGTAAGCAGGACAGTCATCCAATATCATACGAATTTTAATCGTCTAGCATTGAACAAATAGCAAAGAAGTGTGACTAGCCGTTTTATTGAAGATAAATACCACATGTCAAACGAAATAATTTCCCGCAGTCATTACAGTTCAGTGATTGCCATTTCATATGGAAAAAAAACATGGGTACATTTCACTCAATATGGTTTGTCAACTGCATTATATGGTATTTCACCTTGTAATACACTTTTCATTTCTTTCAATGTACATCTCATATGTCCACTCACCAAAGCCGTAGTCTTACCACTGCATTGATGCAAATGTGAATATTCAATATAAAATCATCGATATCACATCTGCTTCAATGAATGAAACCAATATTTATTCTATATACTTATTCATGACAAGTAAGATTAGTCTATTACGATCCTACTATTATTTACTAATTATGTTTTGTTTCAACATTTCCCATTATCAGCGTGAATGAAATTCTGAAACACAGTCAAGAATTTTCCAATATACACCGATGTTCATCTGGTTCAAAAATGAATCCTGAGAATAAATGTCTCTTGTGGAGCGAAGCATAAATCCTGCGTGTGTGTATATGGAAATGTCTGCTTCCGTGTGTCCTCACTTTTTTTTAACTTTACATGTTTTCTTTTCATAGCAATAAACATATTTCGTAACATGACAAAATTGCACATGAATATATGATATTATTACACCTAGATGAATTGATCCTGACAATTCTCAAATAGGTAGAATAAAATCCAATGGAAGAAATATTGTTTTTCGAAATTGGGTTTTTTCTCAAAAAAAATCATTTTCATAATGCTCAATTATTTGTGCAGATTAGATTCGTTTTTCTTTTTTACCGTTTCCATTGGATTTTCATGATTGTTTTGTTTTGTTTTTATCGATAAATGTTGATTCTTACAAATATCTTATTATTGCAAGAATATGGAATTAATGTGGGGTACAATATCTGTGTGACATCGAAATTTCGATTATGTAATATGAACCAGTAGATGAATGCAATGATATAATAATGTAGTAAATAAAACACGACTGGGGACAATCGAATGTATTTAAGGACAAATTACATACTATCTTACTAAATTCTGATAACCATATACTTACTTACTTACTTACTTACTTACTTACGCCTGTTACCCCTCGTAGAGGAGTATAGGTCTCACACCAGCATTCTCCATCCAACTCTGTCCTGAGTCTTCCTTTCCAGTTCTTTCCAGTTGCTATTCATCCTTTTCATATCGTTCGTCCATAAATTCCATTCTCATGTTGCATACTACTAGCACTAATACGAATAATGATAATAATATTAGCGGTTATAGTTATTAAGCTGGTAGTACCGTTCTCCAGATAATTCCTTCATTTGGATTTGGAATTTACCAAAGCATTTACTTGTTGGGTCTAGAACTACCCTTTGTTTAACATCAATAAACATAACTGATGACTTGATTTGCCATATTTCCAATATATTACCATATATATTTGTTACTACTAAATTACCTTAACAGCATAGCGTCCCATACGAGAATATTCTACTTTGAGAGTGTTGAGGCTTAATAGAACGCTCAATTTTCCGTACGTAAATTAACCTTGAAGCATAGCTTTAACCATCAGTTATCCCCTTCACTTACTGGCTTGGTTCAAGTGTAGAAGTAGTCTTCGTTCAAATCCCCAGAACTTACTTGATAAGTGGCCTAATTTTGTAATTTTATTTTGAAAATTTGAATTTAGCTGTTTTCGCGCCAAACGCTCTCTTTTTACCTTCACGTCATATTTCCCACTTGTAAACTATCTTAAACGCTATTGGTCCATTGTTTCTTTGTGTGTGCTATTTATTAATGATGCCCAAGGACAATTTGTTGCTGTATATATACGCTTGACGTTTTCCCTTATTTGATTGCTGTGCTTCTGGCTGCTACAGAATATAACTTCCCCACTTCCAACTTGGACTTCTTACTCTAGTTAGCTGGGTCTGGGTCGCGTCAGAATAGCTAGCTTATCGGTCTCTGGTCACAAATCTTTGTTCCGTTCGCTACTAGTGAATTTGTAACCCTTCAGATATAACAATTGGCAACGAGGCTGGTGCAAATATGGATCCTTCAAAAGTGGAATTATTGCTTTAGCAGCAGATGAAACTTATCCAGATGCTATCAGAAACAAAAATTACGACCAATAGCCAACCAAGCAGTTCTAATCCTACCACTACTGCACCTTCAGTTGATGGTATTGCCAGCAGCATTTCTGAGTTTCATTACGATCCTGAATCTAATGTTACGTTTGATATGTGGTTCCGGCGTTATGAAGATTTATTCAGATTTGATTTTGCCAATCAAGATGATGCTTGGAAGGTCCGTTTGCTGCTTTGAAAGCTGGGTCCTAGTGAACTTGATAAATATTGTAACCTGATTTTGCCTCTAAACCCACGCGATCGCTCATTCTCGGACACTGTCCAGTCATTGAGCCAACAGTTCGGAGATAATTCCTCGCTGTTCAACACACGCTACCGATGTTTGAAGCTGACTATGAACGAAGACACCGACTTTCTGACGCATGTGGGCATTGTCAACCGCGAATGCGAACGCTTTCGGTTGAAGTCGCTAACTGAAGATAAGTTCAAAGCCCTCATCTTCATCTGCAGCCTCCAATCGCAAAAGTTCAGTGACATTAGAAAACGGTTGCTCAGTCGATTGGATCATGACCCTAAGCTGACTCTTAATGATATTGCTAACGAATATTAACGTCTAATTAATCTTCAGCATGACACTACTATGGTTCAACGTGGTGTTTCTGATCGCCCTGAAGTACATGTAGTCCAACAACCAACGAAACCTGTTAAATCCGCCCCAGCTATACCTAGTTCATCTCACTCTAACTCAGTTCAACAAGCAAAGACGAATCCTCCTGCTCCATGCTGGCACTGTGGTGCATGGCATTATGTTCGAAGCTGCCCGTATAAACAACATCGTTGCAGGAAGTGTAAAGCTGTGGGCCACAAGGATGGATTTTGCCCAAATAAGAAGCCAAATCGCCCCAGAAGTACTAAAAAGTCTGCTCCCAAGCCGTGCATAAATTCGTTGAGTCTTGTAGCAACTTGTCAGAACTGAACCCCAGTTGAGATAAAATTTATTACCATTAATATTAATGGGCATCCATTTAGATCGCAAATAGACATAGCATCAGACGTGACGATTCTCTCACAAAAATTTTGGATTAAAATGGGCAGACCACGTATGGTGACAACAACACAAAAACCTCGTACGGCATGCGGTAATTACTTGCGTTTGTTGGGTCAACTACATTGTAAAGTGTCTTTTCGCGATTCAACGTTCACTGGGGTATGTTACATAGCACCAGTTGATCTTAATTTACTTGAATTAGATTGGTTTGACCAGCTGCATTTAGCGGACGTCCCGTTAAACACTTTGTATCATCTAGTAAAGCAACCCATGATCCGGAAGCATATTCAAAGGAACTAATGACGAAGTTTTCGACCGTTTTCCAGCCTGTTTTGGGTCGGTGCTCAGCCATGAAAGCAACACTTCGATTGAAACCTGGGTTTAAACCTGTTTTTCGTCCAAAGAAACCAGTACCATATGCTGCATTACCGAAAGTTGAGGAAGAACTTAATCGCCTTCAACGTCAATGAGTTATTACTCCTGTCTCTTATTCCGCATGGGCAGCACCCATTGTTGTTATCAAGAAGGCTAATGGTACGATCCGAATATGTGTAGATTTTTCCACAGGTCTCAGCTCAGCCCTAGAACAGCATCACTACCCGCTGCCAGTCCCGGCAGATTTGTTCACTATGCTGAATGGTGGAAAGTTCTTTGCGAAGCTGGATCTTGCTGATGCCTATCTACAAGTAGAAGTGGCTGAAGAATCGAAAGAGCTACTCACCATTAATACACATCGTGGCCTGTTCCAGTATAATCGACTGCCGTTTGGAGTTAAGTCCGCCCCATTTATTTTCCAGCAGCTAATGGATACCATTCTATCGGGTATCCCGGGGGTCGCAACTTATCTGAATAGCATCCTCATTGTTGCCACAACGTCGGAACAGCTAGGAGAACACACAACAGCCGTACTACAACGTGTCAGCGACAACGGGTTCCGGCTACGCCCGGAAAAATGCCAGATTTTCTTGAAGTCCGTGAAGTATTTAAGTTTCATCTTCGATGCTGCAGGTCGCAGACCAGATACCGAGAACATCCGAGCTATAAAATCCATGCCCACTCCTACCAATATCTCTGCTCTACAATCATTCCTGGGATTGGTTAGTAATTACTCAGCCTTCGTTCCATCGATGCATGACATACGCGCCCCACTGAATCATCTTCTGAATAAGGATATCAGCTGGAACTGGACAAAGGAGTGTGAAAACGCCTTTTCTAAGCTGAAGACAATTATTAGCTCAGAACCACTATTAACGCACTACGACCCGTCCTTGCCAATCATCGTGGCCTCAGACGCTTCAGCCTTTGGGCTCGGTGCTGTCATTTCACAACAGTTCCCCGACGCGACAGAGAAAGCCATCATGCATGCATCGCAAACATTAACCCCAGCAGAAAAGAAGTACAGCCAGATAGAGAAGGAGGCTATCGCACTGGTGTTTGCTGTGCGCCGGTTCCACAAATTCTTGTACGGTCAGAGATTCACACTTCTTACGGATCACAAGCCTATTCTCGCAATTTTCGGGTCGAAGTCTGGCATACCAGCCCACTCGACAAATCGTCTTCAGCGATGGATCTTGGCACTCTTGGGCTACGATTTCGAAATCCAATACCGACGCACCCAACAATTTGGTCAAACAGATGCCTTATCACAACACATTATTGATCATTCAGCGACTGAGGAAAATATGGTAATCGTATCTCTGTCAGTGGAAGATCACGCAGAATTTTATCTGACAACTGCAATGCGGGCGTTGCCGGTGTCCGCGTCAGACATGCAAAACGCTTCAAGGAATAACCCCGTTATCAAGAGGGCTAAGAGCTATATCACCAATGGGTATCCGTCTGTTAATTTCGATGGAGACATGAAACAGCTGTATCACCGGCGAGATTCACTATGCATTGTAAACGACTGCGTGATGTTTGGTGAAAGAGTGGTTGTACCAGAGTCTCTTCGCGCAAAAGTGATGAAACAATTTCACATTGGTCATCACGGGATAAAGCGTATGAAATCTAACACCAGAAGCTGTGCTTACTGGCCCCTTTCATGGACCAGCACATCACGGATCTAATAAACAAATGCGTTCAGTGTCAGCAAGCAGCAAAATCCAATGCGAAGGTGCCGCCGGTTCCATGGCCACAGCCTGAGTATCCTGGTCTAGGATACATGTCGACTTTGCTGGTCCAGTCAACGGAACCACTTATTTTGTCGTGGTCAACGCCTTCTCAAAATGGCCGGGGATTGTACCCGTTACGCCACCAACGACCACCAAGACGCTGAAACATTTGACTGAGTTGTTCGCACGGAACGGATCACCGGAAGTGATTGCATCCGACAATAGTTCGCAGTTCACCTCGACGCAGTTCCAAGAGTTCTGTAAACG